TCAGGCCTTCCCAGTGTGGCAAAGTCAGCCTCCTGCACCGACACCTCAGCTCCACAGCAGGAGACACGGGTGCAAGGCAGCTCCCATAACAAAAAATAAATCCTGGCGACTTATGGCTTCAAAGAGACGCTTTCAGTGCCAGTGCAGTCTGTGGCTGGCTTTCCGTTTCCCTCTGCACGGGGGCCGTTTCGCACAGACGGCTCCCCATGCCGATGTGCGGAGCTTTGAGTCCACTGCAGAACATATGATTAGTCCTCCGTGCCCCTGGCGATGAAGAACAATCATTTTGCTGCCTCATATGCTCCTTTCATGCCTGCTGGCTCTCCCACCCACCCTCCCACTTCAAAGACTCAAACAAGCTTCTATATAATGAACTTGGGTGTTGTCAGTACCTGGAGGGCCAATAGTACAAAGCTGGCAAGAAAGGGACAGTGCGATATTACCTGCCAAGAGCTCCATTGACATCCCCAGTCACACCCGGAGAGACCACTCTCTCTCTTACACACAAACGTACTTCCCCACAATTCCCAGGTCCTAGTGGCAAACCATATAACATAGAAGATTAGCATCAGGTAAAGCCAAAGTATTCCATTTCCTGTCTACCAGCTGCATAATGCAGGAACCTGTATGCATACAGAAGTTTTCATATTGTCCGGGAAACAATAGAATCACAGAATTGTAGAGTTGGAAGGGAAGGGGTCCTCTAGTCCAACCCCCTGCAATGAAGGAATCTTTTGCCCACGGCCGGATCAAGAGGCTCATGCTCTACCGACTGAGCTATCTCAGACCTCTTAGAAACCCGTTTGGCACACTTATTTAATATTTCCAAAAATATTTATATATGAGCATCCACGGAAAAGTATCAGAGCGGTTTACAATTGGATAGAAACCCATAAAATAAAAACCGCATGAAAATGTTAAAATAAGAAATTGGCTAACTATTGTGGAATTATGCATTCTTAATTGACTGCACAGGGACACGGGTGGCACTGTGGGTTAAACCACAGAGCCTAGGACTTGCCGATCAGAAGGTCAGCGGTTCAAATCCCCGTGACGGGGTGAGCTCCCATTGCTCGGTCCCTGCTCCTGCCAACCTAGCAGTTCGAAAGCATGTCAAAGTGCAAGTAGATAAATAGGTACCGCTCCGGCAGGAAGGTAAACGGCGTTTCCGTGCACTGTTCTGGTTCGCCAGAAGCTGCTTCGTCATGCTGGCCACATGACCCGGAAGCTGTCTGCGGACAAACACCGGCTCCCTCGGCCAATAAAGCAAGATGAGCGCCGCAACCCCAGAGTCGGCCACGACTGGACCTAATGGTCAGGGATCCCTTTACCCTTTACCTTTACCTAATTGACTGCACAAGTCTGACGGAATAGAAAGGCATTTAAAAGTTGAAACAGAAGGCATCTGTGGTATCTAAGTGGCAATAATAATAATAATGATGATAATAATAATAATGATGATGATAATAATAATGATAATAAATTTGCATAGCTTTGTGAAAGGCCCCATCAAACTTGGGATTGAGAGTCATTGTGGTATAATGGTTCAAGTGTTGAATTGGGAGCTGGGAGACCCAGGTTCAAATTCCTACTTAGCCATGAAGCTCGCCAGTCTAGTCACAGCCTCTCAGTCTATCCTACCCTGCAGGGTTCTTGTGTGCATAAAATGGACAACCATGTTTGCCACCTTGACCTCCTTGGAGGAAAGGTGAGGTGCGCTTAAAAAATAAAATATTTGCCACACCGAACATCAAGAAGACTGCTGCATGGATTAGACAGGTCACATCACCACAGCCCTTGTTGTGTGAAATGGGAAATGTTACATGTATGAAGACATGGCATGAATTCCAAAACTGTTACATGGGGTTCTTTTAGAAAGTGATGAATGGAAACAAGTTAAGCAAGCAACTTCTGCAAGCCAAGTATGGGCAAGTGTTTGTGAGCCATATATGGGTTAATCAGTGAGCTGGTCCAACTACACGTTTTTGTTTTGAGCTTGGATTTAAAGCAGCCTCCTTCAACCTTGGGTCCCCAGACGTTGGACAACGCCCATCGTCCTGCACTACTGGGGAAGAAGGCTGGGGAAGATGGGAGGTGTAGTCCAACAACATCTGGAGACCCAAGGTGGAAGAACAGAGAATGCACCTGAAGAACGTTTTTGGAATCTGTTCAAAGTCATTGGGTCAATAAAGTTGATAGAGCACTCAGTGATCACTCTAGTCTGTGCAGCAAATCTTGGAGCCTCTTAGGAGCTGTTCCAATGCAAACTTACTCAGGAATGCACTACCCATGTCTGCAGAGTCTATGGGATTTTCATCTTCCCTACGCAAAGAACTTCCACCTACATTGTATAGCTAGTAGTCTCTAGACTCTTGTATTGGCAGATTCTCTGGGGCCCATGCCCCATGCAACACCAAGAAGAGCCAAAGCAAGAACTGCTTCACTGATGTGGCTCCATTCAACTTGCTGGCTATTGCACCAGTAGCAAAGGGATCCCCAGAGCACTTAGGAAAGGGCAGGAAGGGGTGGCACACATGTGTACCAGCTGCTACCCAGGGAGCCTGTTGCATCAGTTCAGCAGCTACGGAGAATGGTTGCATTGAGAACTCCAGGGTTTTATAAACACATTTCAATTTCATGAAAGAAACAAAACAAAATAAAAATTCCTTCCAATAGCACCTTAGAGACCAACTAAGTTTGTTATTGGTATGAGCTTTTGTGTGCATGCACACTTCTTCAGATATCTGAGCATGTTGGGGGCACCAGCAGCGGAAGACTGGCTGGCCTAGTTGTTGCAGCCACAAGGTCAAGTAGGCCAGGAGGAGGAGCTGGCAGATGGAGGCAGCAGGTGCTATTTGAGGATTTAATCCTGTCCCCTGCTCTCCTGTTTCCATCCACATCAACAGAGGCACAAGCAACAGAAGCTCCACAAGCTTTAAAGTGGAAATATATTTGGGTGGGTGGATGTGTTGCGAGTCTAACCCTGGCAAGAGAGGATTGCTGGGCTAGAGTTCTAGCACTGGCTGGGGCATCTATAAAATCAGATTACATTGCAGGTAGCCTCGAGGCAGGGGATGGTAACAATTCTCAGGCACATCCCTCACCTAAATCACATTGGTGAAGGAGCCAAGGCTGGAGACAGTCCTGGATAATTGATGGTTTTAATCTTTTCAAAAAGGGGGTATAGGCTATTGTTTTTTTATCCCAGCATCCTTAAATGTAACGTGATATCTGAACAGCATCTAGGACAACCTAATTAAATTAAGTACAGTGGTACCCCGCAAGACGAACGCCTCGCAAGACGGAAAACCCGCTAGACGAAAGGGTTTTCCGTTTTGGAGGCGCTCATAAAGCGAATTTCCCTATGGGCTTGCCGCAAGACGACAGCCCATAGGAAATCTCAGGGACAGCGGGGAAGCGCAGCGCGTCTTCCCCACTGTCCTCGGACCTCCTCCGAAGCCTGGCGGCGGGGCGGGGACACCTCCTCCCGCCGCCGCCGGGCCGGAAGGCTCCTCCGGCCGGGCGGGGGAGGGAACACCTGCCGCCGCCGCCCGGCTCGGGCGGTGCTCCGAAGCCGGGCGGGGGAGGGAAGACCTCCCCGCCGCCCGGCCCGGAACGGTGCTCCGAGCCGGGCGGTGGGGAGGGAAGACCTCCCCGCCGCCCGGCTCCGGGACGGTGCTCCGAGCCGGGCGGGGAGGGAACACCTCCCGCCGCCGCCCGGCCGGGACGGTGCTCCGAGCCGGGCGGGGAGGAAGACCTCCGCCGCCGCCCGGCCCGGGACGGTGCTCCGAGCCGGGCGGGGGAGGGAAGACCTTCTGAAGGCGGGCGGGGGCGAAGTCTTTGCTCCCCCTGCCTGCCTGTCCCGGAGGGCTTTTGAAGGCGGGGAGCAAGACTTCGCCCCCGCCAGCCTTCAGAAGAGGTCCTGGACCTCTTCTGAAGGCGGGCGGGGGGCGAAAGTCTTTGCTCCCCCCTGCCTGCCTTCCCAGGGGCTTTTAAATTGCCCCGGACAGCGGAGAAGTCCTCCGCTGTCCCGGGGTGATTTTAAAATGCCGCCCGCCAGCATTTTAAGATCGCCCGGACAGCGGAGAAGTCCTCCGCTGTCCCGGGTTTTTTTAAAATGCTGGGGGTGGGAAGAAAAGCCCTTGCCCCCCCCCCCAGCCTTCAGAAGAGGTCCGGGGACAGACTGTCCCCGGACCTGGTCTGAAGGCGGTTTCCCTAGGAACGCATTAATTGATTTTCAATGCATTCCTATGGGAAACCGTGCATCGCAAGACGAAAAACTCGCAAGACGAAGAGACTTGCGGAACGAATTAATTTCGTCTTGCGAGGCACCACTGTATGTTTCCTCATCTTATGTTCCCTCTAAAGACAAAGACCAATGCAGACTTAGCCAATCTGATGACGACTCAAAACCCTGCTTGCTATTTTGTGCCTTTTTCTTTGACCCTAGTAAAGTTAATGAACTACTGTGGATATTACAGGTAGGTAGCCATGTTGGTCTGCCGTAGCCAAAACAAAATAAAAAAATTCCTTCCAGTAGCACCTTAGAGACCAACTAAGTTTGCTATTGGTATGAGTTTTCGTGTGCATGCACACTTCTTCAGATATTTTTATTATTGGGTAACTTTACTTTCTAGGATTACCTCCCCCCCCCCCATCACTCTGGTTCTAGAAACTGGGGCTTTCAGGATCTTCCATTCTATTTCCTTGACCCAAGAGATCAGGACACAAACCTGAAGCCATGATCTCTTGCATGAAATTAACTCCACATTATTATTCCTGGGGCATCTTAAGTAATTTCCAAATTTGGTTTCCAAATTCGTTTGTTGACAGGGTAAGTCGGGCTGTCAGTGCTTAAGGACAAAAGAGCACATGTCCTCGCAACAGCAGATGTGAGGCAACAGGAAAAATAAGTCATATGAGAGGCAATGGGTTACACAAGTGCTGGGAAGGAAAAGTTTGTCCTAGAACTAAGGTTCTCAGAACTTGAGCAATAATTCCTCAGCAAGATGTAGGAAGCTGAAAGTGTTTCTCAACCATCATCTTTTTGTCCCCTCTCCAGAAAGCATCTCAATTGAGTTAAGAATAAAAAATGAGCATTGTACTGATTTAGCACACTACGGCTGTTGGGTTTTCCTGATATTAATGTGGTCAGTGGTGCTACTCAGAGGTGTGTGTTTGTAATTATAACCTGCACGCAGGACATCTGTGAGCTTTTGACAATTCATCACACCTGAGGTATCTTAACAATTTAACTAATTAGCAGGGGCGCTTACCTACTGCACCGAATGCAGGGATGTGATAGGGTAATTATTTGAAAACTGTATTTAAGTTGATCAAGTGGCGTAGTGTGTAGTTATAGAATACTGTTAGGCAATGCTGTTGAGGAATGGTGGTGAGAAGGGGTGTTTTGCAGCTGTTTGATTATTACAGTATTTTAAAATAAAGATAAGCAAAGATATTGCGGGCAAGCTTTTATTCCATCACCCCAGTCGCTGCGCTAACTCAGTTGGAGCAGATGTCCAACAAGGGCCTACTGGGATCACGGGTGATTCCTACCCCAGAGAAAATAGAGGATGAAAGAGAATGTTGTAAATAATCCTATGAAAGCTAGTAGCCTACAAAATAATAAACAAACAAACAAATGAAGTAGTAGTCGTCGTCTGCTGGGGGCTGCCTCCATCTCTCCTGCAGTGGGTCACCTCATTTCAATTCTGGGCACAGAGGAAGAGGCTCCTCTCTTTTGGGAAGCCCACCTGGTTTCTATGCTCACCCCTCCTCTGCCAAACCACGTGCTTGCCAGCATACAATTTCTGGTTGCTTACACCAGCCAGGCTAGTGCTTAAATGCAAGGCTGATGTATAAACCTGAGAGATGAGACTAGAGATCCATCTAGACCAGTATCTATTTTCCATCAGCGACCAGCAAGATGCCTCCAAAAAGTCCAAAAACACTGCCTTAAGCAGACAAAAATTCCAATAGACTCCCTTGCTGTTACACCCCAGCAACTGGTACCCAGTGGCATACTTCCTCTGAACAAGAAGAAATCTTCATATAGGCGACAAGGCTGATAGCTTACATGGAGTTGTAGACACTCTCAAAGATCTACAGAAGGCAGGTCAGGCAGGACTTCCCCTTTGAAGAAGCCATGTTGATAGTAAGCAAGACGGACTTCTTCAGTGTGCTCCATACATCTATCCTTAACAACGTATTCCCTCAATTTACCAGAGGCAGACCTTAGGCCAAGTGGCTTGTTAATTTCTTGCTTGCCCCCTTACGAAAAAAACAGCAGCAAAATGTTGACCACTTTCCAATCATTTTGGTAAAGAGACCGATTTTAGTGACATGTGGTATATTTTATTATAAGATTAGCAATCATTTCAAGAATTATTGGGTGTCTGTCACCCGAACCCAATGACGTTAATTTTAATCCATCAATCAACTGTAAACTTCCATCTCCTGTCATCCCTATTTGATTAAGCTCTTCTGGTGTTGAGTCAGATGGCTAATTCTGCAGCGGCCACACCAGGGCCAGAGCAAACACTGACACGTGTGAGGTAGGAAATCTAAATCGCAATCCCATTACACACTAATCCGCCATGATGGTCTTCTGCACACGCACACACACATACACTGAAAGGGAGCTATACCAAAGAACCATCACATTCTTGCAGGGCTCCCCTTCATTTCACTGGGGCTTGCCCAGTGGATTGTGCCCCATGAGCCAGCTCTCTCGTCTTCCCACTGCTGCCGTTAAGGGCACCCAAAATCCACTGTCTGAGGCAGCGGCTTCCCCTCACGTGAACCCATTTACAAAACAGGCCTAGACATCCTCAGGCAGCATCCTCACTCAACAGCCTCTCCTTGCTGTGGGGCGATTTTGTCTCCTATCCAGATGACGGTTCAGTCCTTGTCCTCTGTGCTCTTCTACAGTAAACACTCTATAGCCACAGGACTTCCCTTACTACTTGAAAAGCAACGAGTGTGGCCTGTGGCACCCCTGCGTCGACTGCTTCTGTCTGCAGTGTGCCCCTTACCCAGTTCACGCAGCCCATCTTTCGCCGAAAGGAATTTTGGACTGACTGAAGACTCTGCCTGGCCTGACAGAAGACTATCTACCGCTCGGTTTGCCGCCGCCCCTCCCGCCCTCCTCGCGCATCAATCAAAGTCAATGGTGACCTCTTCAATCTCTTCGTGGCTGTTCTGGACGGTGCTCTTGCCGTGCATCTCCTTGAGGTGGCGCCGCAGGCCCGGTTTGTGGGTGAAGTGCATCTCGCAGTAGTTGCACTTGTGGGGCTTGATGCCGCTGTGGAGGTTGAGGTGGTCCTGCAGGGTGGCGTTCTGGGTGAAGCACTTGCGGCAGACGGGGCACTGGAAGGGCTTGAAGCCGGTGTGCACGCGGATGTGGCGCGTCAGGTTGCTCTTCTGCGAGAAGACTTTGCCACAGCGGAGGCACAGGAAGAGCTTGTGCTCCTGCACGTGGTTCACAAAGTTCCCCAGCTGCTGGAACACACTGTTGCAGCGGGGGCACCGGTACGGGCGCTCCAGCCCCGGCACCTTCCACGACGCCACCCCGCCACCCGCCCGCCAGTCCCTGTACGCCATGGCCGTGCCATGCCGGTGACGATGAAGCGGGTAGTTCCTCCACTGAGGGGCGGGGGCAGGAGCTGCTGGAGGGAAAGTGAGTCCTTCGCTGCTTGCTTCGTCGTCATAGCAACCCTGCAGGTAGCTGCGCGTGATCTCCACAGCGGAGTTGATGAGGGAGAGGGAGATTGCAGGAGAAGAGGGGCCGTGGGAATCACGTGGGGTGAACTCAGGCACCTCCACTTTGACATCCTCGGAATCTGTCTCCCCCGTGGGTGAAGGAGGTCGCTTTTCCTCCCCTTCTTCTTCCCCATCCTGCTGAGAATAGCTCCCCTCCGCCTGCTCCTCCCGCAGCAGGGTGTCTGCCTTGGGGACTAAGTAGTGGGAGACCGCCTGCGCACAGCGCTCCACCACGTGGCCCATCTGCAAGAAGGAAGCAGCTGTCAGGTAGTTGACCAGTTCCTTGATGGGCACCTCGAGGCATCCTGTGTAGCAAGAGAGAAGCAGCTGGCGCCCAATCTCCGGACTCTGGAAGAGGGAGACCGACACCTCCTGTGAGTCATTGAGCAGGAACTGGTCGCGCAAGAAAGGGGAGCAAGCGGCAAAGACCACACGGTGCCCAGGTACCCGCAGATCGTTCACCTGCACTGTCACGTCACAAAAGCGCCTCTGCTGCCGCAGCTGGTCCATGCGGTGCAGCACCCCATCGCCATAGCCAGGAAATCGGAATTGCAGCCGTTCGCAGGCTGGGGCCATTTTTGATGTGCCTGGGAAGGGGGAACAAGACATGGGAGGAGGGGACAACTGAATTATATGCAACACACTAAAAGGGAATCCAGACACCTGGATATCCATGTATGTGAAACTGAAAGCACCTGATCCTTGTTTCAGACTAGGAGCGGCTAGGGTGAAGAGAAGTTTCAGTTTGATTGGGTGGAGGGGAGTAAAAAGACTTGCCCATAAGAAAACTCACACAGGTGCTATTTCCATGTTGAAAATAATGTCACTACAACTGCATCAAGCAGCTGTGCAATCTCATCAAGTATTGAAGTAGTTATAAGATACTTTAACACCAAGGGTGAAATTTCATGTCTTCATTCATGTTTCCAAAGAGATTTTACAGATTTAACAAATGCTTTACTGCCTTGTAAAAAAGTTTAGAAAGTTTACAACTCTCTTTCTTTTGTCATAAAATGGTCAAGAACACAACAGCAAGGCAGTTAACTAGGGTTCACCCTGGAATCATATTTCTTTGGTGCTTTAAATGTTTCCAGGCGCAATTCAGTTAGTTTTAACTTAGAGCTCTAATCAACCTTCACCTATATAAGGCTGTTCACCCGCTACAATCTTCATTGTCGTTCCTTCTCCGGAACTCCCCCCACCCCTGAGATTAAGCAGATGGCTGGGGGGCAGGCAGTGTTCTTTCATGGCATCTGGTTTGTGGAATTCCTTTTCCAGAATACTTGCCTGGAATAGTTTTTATTATTTTTACTAGGCTAAGGTGGTGGTTAACCTGTGGCCCTCCAGATGATCCAGGACAAAATCTCCCATCATCCCTGGCATTGGCCCTGCTGGCTGATGAGTTGGGTTCCTACGACACCTAGAGGTTAGCCACTTCCACAAGTTGCATCAAACACAGTGGGACTTCATTTTGCGTAAACATACAAAGGATTGTGCTGCAAGTTCATCCTCTTTACTGGAGCTTCTAATAAACTACAATAACCTTGATGGTTAACCAGAGATGGCCAGGAGGAGAAAACTGAGAGTAACCCAACCAGAATTTCTAAATATTTCCAAACTTGGAAAACTTTGGTTACTTTAAAATATGGTCTGTTAACAAAAAGGATTACAAATCATTACCTGATCCTGGTTTGTTTCAACAAACTACTGTTTCAATTCACAACACGGAACTCTGGAGACTTTTTTGTCTGTTTGGTTTCAAATAAACCAATCTTCTATTTCCAGTCTCCCAGTGGACAGCATACTACTACTGTACTGTGATCTGTTTTAACTGCTTTAAATTTTAAATCACTGTAACCTGTCCTGGGACCTGCTGGTGACGGGCAGGTAATAAATGTAATAATAGTAGTAACAATGATGGAAGCATATACCGTAGTTTAATGGCACAAACAAATTGGCCCATTGTATCTAACTAGCCTTGTAAACTGCCACAAGAGCTGCTTTAGCCAACTTTTAAAATAAACCTACAAAAGTGAGTAGCCTGCAAATGATGCTACTAGACCACTCATTTACTTTCACACACTTTTTTGCTGCTCGTGGCTACGTAAGGATTGTTTACATAGGGCAGGCAAGGTAATAAATTACATAAACAGAAGAAATCTTTTCAAGTTAAGTAACAATAACATCTATAAAGCTGGGTACTGTACCTGTAAGATCCGATTCGGCACAACCCCTCTTAGCTAGCTGCACCCCCCCCCAAAAAAAACCATTTATATCAAAATGGGAATATTTTGTGAACTTGACAGCTGCAGCACCGCTATAGTTAAAATCCAGCAGGCACAGACAGAAAATGATTGCCGAATAACATGTGATCCCTGCTTATTCCACCAGATCACTTCTTTGTGCATCGAATGCTAGTACCCTTTTATGAATGAAATTATTTATTTTCCCTCACTTTGGAGGGATATCGACTGGGAAAGGAATGTAAAAAAAAGACTATTTATCCTGATGCTTAGAATGCACGGGAATGCTTATTAGTTTTAAATGGGCATTTTACGCATCGTTTGTTTAAGGCTGCTTTCTCCAAGAACACAATGAAAACCTCAGCGAAACATTGAGCCTCCCACCGGCGCGCATGTGCCTCCTTACTACTATTCTCGAAAGCGTTCTACTCCGCTTGCGTAAAGCGCCTCACTGCCCCCGCCCTCGCCCATCTGCGCCTCTTCGAACTCCGAAGCTGCGCGCGCAGCGACCCCTGCCGGGCGCCCTGATCTCCCCGCTGCGCTATTCGCGTAGCTCCTCGCTCTCTCCCCATTCAACCGAGCTATTCACAGACGCCTGCTACGCTCTTCCCGCACCGTACGCCCCTGCGTTCCTGGTCGCAGACAGACGCAAGTTACGTGAGATGCGCCGCTCCTCACCCGTAACCGCGGCCCGCTCGCCGGCCCCAACACCGGCGCCTTGTCGCCTCGCTTCGGGCGTGGGGAATGGACCGCTGCCGCTTCTTACTGCCTCCGAGGCGGTCGCTTCACACCGGCTCCGTCAAGGCCACTCGCGGCAACCCGGCCGCACCGCCATCTTGGAATCCGCCCTCTCGGAGGGTCCGGGACTTTTTCCCCCAGGCGGGCAAGGGCAGGGATTGCTCCGCGGAGCGACCCGCCGCTGGGGCTCGTTGCGAGGGGACGGGGGGGAGTGAAGGGGTCGTGCGAGCAGACACGGAACTGTATCCCTCCGCCTGGAAAGAGTCCGATGCCTGGGGACAACGAGGCATCGCCCCACCTCACACTGAACCCCACAGGAGCCTCTGGCCTGTTGGCAGGAGCCCCCTGAAAGCAGCCAGCCCCACCTCCATGCCACCTTGCACACCACTGCCTCCTTCCACAGAAATTCCCCCACACTGTCATTTATGAAATTCCTATGCCGCCCTTCTTCCGGGGGTCCCAGGGCGGCTTACAATACAGTGGTACCTCGGATTACGGACGCTTCAGGTTACAGACTCTGCCAACCTAGAAATAGTACCTCAGGTTAAGAACTTTGCTTCAGGATGAGAAAAGAAATCACGCGGCGGTGGTGTGGCAGCAGTGGGAGGCCCCATTAGCTAAAGTGGTGCTTCAGGTTAAGAACAGTTTCAGGTTAAGAACGGATCTCCAGAATGAATTAAGTTCTTAACCCAAGGGACCACTGTATGTAAAACACAGCAGCAATGTGCAAAAGCAGTGCCCCCAATGTGTCTTCTCCACCTCCCCATTTGGCACTTCTATTTCCCCTTCCTACAACCAGGGACAGACTTGGGTAATAGGGCATCCTGAGTGAAGACAATATTTGGCGCTCCTACGCACTTTTGAGTAGATATGCATCATGCATATAGATTAAGGTTACCAAATTTCTTTCAATGAATCCGGGGACACTTTAAATGAATAAATACTACACGTTCGGGACGTTGATGTTGCAGCGATGGCGGCGCCACGTTTTCCCTTCCTTCTGTCTCCTTTCTCCATGAGCCCGGGCAGCCCCTGAGTTGGATCTTCGGTGGTGGTGGTGGGGAAGCGGTGCACAGTGGGTCAGGCATGGAAGGCGGAGAAGGAGGGTTGAGAGCAGCGGCAGGGAGGCTGGGGCAGCGCGATGCCTCCCCATTGGAGCAGCCCCAATCCCATTCCTACTTGCGTGCAAGCAGAAGGGGGCAGGGATCTCTCAGGCAGCGCAATGCCTCCCTTCCCATCAGAGCAGCTCCCAATCCCATCCCTACTTGTGTGCAAGCGGGAGGGGGCAGGGATCCCTCAGCTGCAAAGGGAGGCTTCCCCTTGCCTAACTGAGACATCCTTGCCCCTCCTGCTGCACGCAAGCTTTGATAGGCAGTGTGAAGCCTCCCTTCACAGCTGAGAGATCCCTGCCTGCTCCTGCTTGCACACAAGTAGGAGATGGGAGGCTGCTCCGATAGGCAGCGTGAAGCCTCCCTTCACAGCTTAGTTGCTGGGGTCAGGGAAGGTGGAGGCAGCCCACAAGCTGCATCTTAGAGCTCCTGCATCACCATCATATGGGGACTTCCGAGCAGCTCCTGAAGCCAGCCAGAGCCAACTGCTCCAGGCTGCTGAGACTGCCGCTGCTGCATTTCCCAGGGACATTAGATGAAATCCGGGGACATTCCGGGGATGGAATTTGTCCAGGGACTTATTCGCAAAACTGGGAACTGTTCCCGGGAAACGGGGATGTCTGGTAACCCTAAATAGGTGGCATTACTACTACTACTGCTATTTTGCACCTCTTCAGTTTGACGCCCTGTGTAGGGAACCACCTGCACCGCCCTAAATCTGTTGCAACATGTTTTTGTTTTGTTTTTAAAGGATTTAAAAAAACAACTTTGTTTTTTTTCTTTATTTTTTTTAAATAATATTTATTAATAATTTCAAAATTACAGAAAACAACAACAACAACAACACTGCAATACATAAAAAGAAGAAAAAACGCAAAACATAAAAACCAATACAACAATACAGCAAAAAAGAAAATGAAAAAAAGGAAAAAAGACACAAATCCCATATTACATATCTTTAACTTCCATTTGCTTGTTTCGTTGACCTCCTCACACCTCCCTTTTGGTATTCTAGTTTAGTTAGTTATTTCAGCAAATTCTTTCCATCTTTCTCAATTTTTGTTAGATAATTTATCTTAACAATTTAACCTATTAATTAACTCGACAGATCCTTTCCATCTTTCCCCATATTCTGTTATTCAAATTACCTTAATTTATTTAACCTTATCTTACCCTAAAATACCTTAAAGCTTAAAACTTAATACTCAGTTATACATAACTCCTGATATCATTTCTGCTAGAGTCATATAGTTTCATTCCTACATTTTCCCTAATATTCATTAATTTTAGGCTAATTCCCTAAATAAAAAATTTTCTTTATAAATTTTCTTCCAATCTTCATCCAACGTCTCTTCTTCCTGGTCTCGGGTCGTGTCAGTCCTTACTGTCCATTCCATCTAGTCCATCAACCTGGAAGTCTTATGTCCGAGGCCCTTAAGTCTCTTCCATGTCCCTTCTGCAGATCTTCTTCTTCTTGTTTATACTTGCACTTTTCCTTGTCTTTTGTTGGTCTCTTTCTTAATTTCTTTCCTTTCTCATTGAGGAGTAGGTCTCTGGGGGGTTCCAACCCAAAGTTATCTCCGTCTCCCTTCATCAAACCAGCCCATTCCCCACAGTCCCACTCCCCACAGTCATCAATATAATCCAAAAAATATTTACGAGCATATTTCGAAGTCTCTCCAAAGTTAAAAGCCTCCTCAGCTCCAGACTCCCCCTGGCCGACTCCAACTTCAATCTTCAAAAACAGCGGCTTATGCTCCTGTAGGGCCTTGGGCCTCTCCATTTGTATTATTTGAGGTGCAACCGCAGCCTCCTCCATTATCTTCTGCACTTGCCCAATCAATACAGGTTCCTGAGTTGGATCCTGGATGGTTTCTGTATCACTATTCACTATTTGTCCACAGTTATTGGCCACAACAGTCATCAAATCCATTTTCTCATTCATCAAATCCATCTTCTCATGCATCTGTTCCAACAAAGCACTTGTCTTGCATAAAGCAAGCACCAAAACTTCCTTCCAGCTCATATTTAGTCAAGGTCAAAAGGACTAATCCCACGATCTTAATCTCACAGCTGTGGAATCCTCAAGTAGACTGCAGCAACAATTTAGCAGGCTCCCTCTAGAGGAGACAATTTCTATTTGTATCCATCTTTTTAAGGCAAGTCCAACAAAGGAAAATTACTTTCATTTTTCAGATATTTTGTTTCTTTAGAATGCAAAAGGCAACATTGGAATCAGTTTATTTCTCTTCTTCAGCTATCTGTCAAAGTATTCCATTCACAGTCAATGAACCTCTCCAACAATTTCTGTCTCTGACACCCCGTTCCCAGGTTAGAGACGGTGGAAACTTATCTTTCTTCACTCCCTCTCCTGCAGGCGTTACACAAAGTCCCCCCCCCCTTTTCTCCTGCTTCCAAGGGGAGTTCAGTAGTTATAAATGAAGGAAATTTAGGCTTTTTTAACGACTTTCCAGGCTTTAGCTTACAAGGTTTTTGCTTTAGTCTATATACAAAAAGCGGAAGGCGGACTTCCTGTTTTGAACCTTCCCGCTTCGATGTCAAATTAAGATATTTCTTGATCCAATTTTCTGTTTCTACTCACGGGTACTTGTTTTAAGTCCAATTGTCCACAGGAAAAAGTCAGCGCTCTCCGGCGATGGCTGTGCGGCTTCACTCCGTGAAAGTAGCAGTCAGTTCGCAGCACCGCGCTGCTCACCCCACTTCACTCCGGAATCCCAAAAAGGGGTTCCCCGTGAGTAGGGGGGGCGCTCCTGGTGCCCTGCCGAACCCCACGTTCCCAGGCTTCCTCCACCTGGGATTTCTAGCGGGTCCCCACCTTTGCCGCGGCGGGAAAACCCAGTTTCCACAGAGCCAGTTCCTCCGGTCGGAGGAACTCCGCCATTCGCCGATGGCGCTAACCCGGAAGTCCTCTTAAAAAAACAACGATCGAAGGACAGCAATGACAACATCAAATCAGATTTCTTTAAAGGAAAATGCGAAAGAATAAAACGCTACAAGTTACGTGCTAAGAAATAGTACTGTACAGTTAATATATGGGGAGACAAAAAGATCAAAACTAGATCCCGTCTCAGGAAAAGCAGGGGAAGACTTTGGTAATCTCTGCATCATATGGCGCCCTGCAGAATGCCAAAATTTGGTGCTCCCAAATGGATTTTCTCTGTTATGGGTCTTCTCCATTTGGTGCCCCTCAACTGTGCGGGGGAAATCTAGCACTGCTGTGTCAATGGTTCTTTGAAATACCATTTCCTTGCCTTTCCCTTTGCTCCATGTCCTGTACTAGCTGCCAAACAGCTGGACCCAACTTTTGCTTGCCAGGAGTACAGGACCTCTACCAGCAAATATATGCAGCAGCCTGGAAAGCTTAGTTGGTTAGAGTGTGGTGGTGATAATGTCAAGGATGTAGGTTCAATCCTTGTATGGGACAGCTGCATTTTCCTGCATTGCAGGGGGTTGGACTAATAGGTGATCCTCAGGATCCCTTCCAACTCTCCAATTCTATGACTCTATTTAATTTAAGGAGAGGGGGATATTAAAAACACTAATGAGGCTCTCAGAATGAAAAGCAGCTTGTGTGGGAGGGGAGAGTTTTGTAATTAGCAAAATACAAAGACTAATCTTCCCATTAAATTGAGGTTTTTGCTTTGCCTTGCCTACTAAAGTATAATAACCTTGCTTGTAGAAGACTTTTCTGAGCACAACAGAAGATCCCAACAGGCAGAGAGGAAGGAAGGAAGGAAAGGACATTGCAACACACCGATCTTGAGCTAACATGACCTCTGACGGGGAGGAGAGAATTAATCATCAGAGCCCAGTGTCCTTATGCCAACACATTGCTTATTATTTTAATCCTGGATTCGATACAACTAGGACAAAAGCCGTTCAGAACCCTGCAATCTATTTTTGTTGCAATGCAAGAGGACGGACACCTGGCAAGCTGAGCAATATATATGTGTGTGCACAACATGTGTTAACACCAGTCAAATCCCTTACAGGGACTTCTGCACTCGTAAGATGTTTATAGACCCCTAACACATTTTGAGCTTTGTTATTTGTTATTACAGGCGGCAGCTGCGTTCCAGGAGAAAATAATGTGGCATTATTTGGGGCTACGGCAAAAACGAAGACTCTTTTCCAGGGAGTCTTCTCTTCTCATGAGGTGGCCAAAATATTGGAGCCTCAGCTTCACAATCTGTCCTTCCAGTGAGCACTCAGGGCTGATTTCCTTCAGAATGGATAGGTTTGATCTTCTTGCAGTCCACGGGACTCTCAAGACTCTCCTCCAGCACCATAATTCCAAAGCCTCAATTCTTCGGCGATCAGCCTTCTTTATGGTCCAGCTCTCACTTCCATACATCACTACTGGGAAAACCATTACTTGAACTATACGGACCTTTGTTGGCAAGGTGATGTCTCTGCTTTTTAAGATGCTAGAAGTCTGCCCATTGTCAAATACCTAACTGCACTGCTGCACAGAACTGAGAAAATGACAGGTGATTGTGGCTGCATTGTTGAGTTAAGACTATTTCCCTAGGGCTTGAGAGATGAGGCTCAAATCGCCACTCAACTGCAAAGGTTGCGGGTGACCTTTGGCCAATGACAACATTTCGGGTTAACCTACTACAGGTACGTTGTACTGCATGGCAGCTGGCCCTAGGATTTTATAGGCCTCCCCCCCATCCTTCCTCCCATTCCGTCTCCCCACTGAGATCTCTTTCTACCCTATCCTTACAAGTGTTTGCAGGGCAGGTGTAAAACACAAGACTTGGGTCACATTCACACATACATCTAAAGTACATAGCTCCCCCCCCCCGAGAATTCTGGGAACTGTTGTTTATGAAGCATTGCTCCCATGATTCTTTGGGGGCAGCCATTACAGTTGAACTGCTATAATCTGCCTGATTCCCAGCAAAGGCTGGTTCTTAGGAGAGCCAAAGATGCCCTCTGGACCTCTGGTGGGGCTCAGCCAGCAGCACTCCAGCACAAATGATGAAGGTCTGGTTTTTATAGAGGACCCAACCCAAGGGACCCAGAAGTTGCTGCAGACTTGAGCACACTATGCTCTGTGGTTGAGAACTGGATCAATTCTGCAGTACCTTGTGAAAACCCATCCCCTTTTCTCAATCGCTAGAACTGGGTGTTCCTGCACCTCCCCTTGCCCAAAAAGCCTGTTGATTCCTCTCCCCCCCCCCCGACTGCTCCAGTCGCTTTCACAGCCCACTCTTGCAAAATAAACCCTCGAATTGCCACATGCCATGCGGAGGCACGACGGTTGCAGCCCTTGTGCAATTCCTTAGGGCTGCAAACCCTCCACTCTGTTCCAGTTGGGAGAAACACATGTGGCAGATGCCAGCTTCAATCCCTGCCACATCTCCCCGCCCCTAGGGAAGACCTTTGCTTGAAATGTGAAGGAGAGCTTTAACCTAGAAGGAATCATAGGCCTGACTCAGTCGGAAAGGGCCTTTTTACAGCCTATACCACCCTTGTAAGTTGCATCACTCCTGGGTGAGTGATCCTTTCAGGCAACTAGGCATGGAAGCTTTATAAATCCAGTTTCTTCCTCCTCCTCTCCATCTTTCAGGCCACACAGATATGCCCAGACCCAAGGGGAAGGGTTGTAGCTCAGTGGCAGAGAATCCACTCTGCAAGCAGAAGATCCCCAAAATCTCCAGGTTGGAATGGGAGCAATACCCTCTGCCTGAAATCTTGGCACTGCTGCGGCTAGTCAGTGGAGATGACAGTGGGCTAGATGCTTCTAGGGGGATGCGGGTGGCGCTGTGGGTTAAACCACAGAGCCTAGGGCTTGCTGATCAGAAGGTCGGTGGTTCGAATCCCCGCGACGGGGTGAGCTCCCATTGCTCGGTCCCTGCTCCTGCCAACCTAGCAGTTCGAAAGCATGTCAAAGTGCAAGTAGATAAATAGGTACCACTCTGGCGGGAAGGTAAACGGCGTTTCTGTGTGCTGCTCTGGTTCGCCAGAAGCGGCTTAGTCATGCTGGCCACATGACCCGGAAGCTGTACGCCGGCTCCCTCGGCCAATAAAGCGAGATGAGCGCCGCGACCCCAGAGTCAGCCACAACTGGACCTAATGGTCAGGGGTCCCTTTACCTTTAGATGCTTCTAGACAAAATGCTATAGGCTAGTTGCTTTTTGTAGAAACATAGGGTTAGGAGGAATTCTCAAGGGCCAATTAGCCCAACCCAAAATGCAGGAATCTCATATCCCAGGTGCCATGCAGAATTAACTTTTGGCCCCCCAGCTGCTGCTGCACTACAACTCCCAGTACCCCCTGGACCATGGAGCCAACTTACTGGGGCTGATGGGAGTTGTAGTTCAGTGACAACAGGAGGGGCTCTGTACACACTGCCTCTCTGTACACACTGCCTGTGCTACTGCTGCCTCGATTAGCACAATATCGCTGTGGCCAAGAGCAGCGGGTGGGGTAGAAGGTTTATTCCACCCGCAGGGTGCCTCTCTCAGCCTTACAGGGACTGCTTGAAGGGAGACACACATACACACATAGTTCTGGATCCAAAGGAAAGAGGACGAGTCGTTCAAAATCGAACCAGCTTTTATTTACAAAAATAGTTCCCCCGCCCCCCGCTGCATCCCTTGCAGGTGGGGAGGGAACGCCACAGCCCTTTTTCAGGAGGGTAGACGCACCCAGATCTTCTTTCCCCCCTCCCCACCCCGGTTTGGTTTGTAGCAGCAGCAACAACAGTGAAAGGCAAGTGGGGGGAGCTTGTTGAGTTTGGAGGACAGGAAGGTCACAGTGTGGTGGAATGCGTCCCCCAAGAACAAAAGTGAATACTGAGAAGTGGCAGCCGGGACACCCCATCGCGGGTCGGGACTGGGCAGTGGCTGATTTTATGCTTATTGTGCAAGGGAGAGGAGGGAGCTGGGCAGCCCTGCAAGAACTGGGAAGCTGCCCTGCTCCCCCGTTTCCTCCCGAGAAGGAGAAGGGAGGTCAGTGCTTGTGCTCATCTGTGCCAAGTCGCCCCCCCAACACAGATCGTCCTTGGGGGTGCTCTGGCGGCAGTGGGGTGTTATGTGCATAGGAAGGCATGTGGGGGGGGGCTGCTGGTGTGCGAAGAAAGGAGCAGGATTGTGGAAGGGGCCGTGGGCGAGAAGGAGGCGCACAAACTCCAGGACTGCCAGGACCCATCGACAGCGGGGTTCTGCCCTTTTAAAAACACTCCAACATGTATAAAAACGGAGAATACGGGGCAACCGGCCCCTGGGTTTTGGAAGCAACGGGACATTTGCCTCCCGCAACCCATCAATGGCAGGAGTGGGCAGATAGAAAAAAGCACCAAGAGGGATTTCCACTGCAAAACGAAGCCACGCCACACCTTCTCAAACAAAGCGGTTCCAGTGATGCAGGGGGCTCAGGCCCCCACCCCCCTGCCCACCGTGCCGTTGGAGGGGCCGGGACCCGAGGCGGGTGTGGACCTGTCTGTGGCCCCACTTTGCTGGCCTTCGGGGGACCTGCTGCCCTCCTGGTGCTCCTGGGCTGCTCTGGCCTGGGCGTCGGGCGTTGCACCGCTCCCCACCGCCGCGCCGTTTGGCCCCTCCTGTTCGGCGGCCGTTACCGCGCTGTTCTCCTGGGCAGGAGTGTGGCTGGCGGCTCGGCTGGCGGCAGCCCCGGTGCTGTGGGAGGTCCTCTCCAGCTTCCGGTGCTTCCGGTGGGAGGCAGTGGCCGCAGGCTGCTGCGTGGCTGGATCCTGGGGGACCAGGATGTCCCGGATGAGCTCCGTGCATAGGGTAGAGGCCTGGCGCGTTTCGCGGCACAGCTGGGAGAGGCTCAGGAAGCCGTGGGGGAGGTCCTGCACCACCCGCAGAGTCACCGGCTGCCCCAGCGCTCGGAGCCGCCGGGCAAACATCACCGAGTCATCCAGCATGGGGTCGAGGGCGCAAGCCTAGGGAGAGGCAGGGAAGGGAGGCAGAGTGAATGCATGGCTCTGGGCTGCTACCTGCAAATCAGGGGGTGGAGAACCTGCGACAACCCTGCCCAATTGCCGTGTGGGTGGGGTGGGGGCAGCGGGAGATGTGGGGGTCCAGAGGAGGGTGGGGCAAAGGAAAGTCAAAAGGACAGGGTGAGAGATAGGAGACTCCTGCAGAGGGTTTGCCTGGCCATCTGATGAATGGAAGGATATTCCCATCATGCCAATGGGTGACTCTCCCCCTGAGGCATCCGGTAGGCTGTTTTCTGGAGAAGAGATGCTGAAATGCCCAACATAGCCACTCCCTTGCATCTCTTCCCATCCCACGCCGCCCCAGAAAACTCCCTAGCATCTCAGCCTCTTCCCTTAAGACAGCCTTTGCCAACTTGGTGACTTTTAGGTGTTTGGGACCCCAACTCCCATCGGCCCCTAGCCGGGACTGGAGCCAATGGGAGTCCCTGGCAAAGGCTTCCTTAACACGTGCTGCTGAAACCTGTTCCCCCACACCCTGACAACCAACTGCGCAGTTTTATGAAGCCCGAGGAAGGTGAGCTGGCTAACTTTTGTATCCTGTTGTCATGGACTGGCTGGATGCAGAAAAGTGGTGAGAGGCATCATTTGGGGACCCCCCCCCAAGGGCACCCCCAGGGGAAGAAGATTCAGAGCCCGGGTATTGGTGGTGGGATGACAATGAGTGGTCAGAGGGGGAAGAAAGAAAAGACTGGGAGAAGGAGCTCACAGGGTTTAGTGAGCAGGGAGAGGCTGTGGCAGAGAGCAGTCCAGAACCAGAGGCAGGAGAGGAAGGGGGCCAGGAGGCAAAGATGAGACTAGCCGCTGAAGAATCCAGGGAGTCCCCAACTCCTGCTGCGACCAGCTCCCCAATCCCTCCAGATTGCGAGGGAAGGACCTGGGGGATGAGGAGGTTTAGAGAGCGGTGCAAAGCCTTTGCAACTGCCTCACTGGGACAAGACCTACTAGGGAGAATTACCGGGCTCACTAGGCCTGAACTGTTTTGTTTCTTTGAATGAAGTCTGAACTTCGCTGACACCTTGTGAGTTACTGCTGACTTGACCCTAGCACCTGCCTCTCAAACTTGTTGACCTCCCGAATCCCGCGAGCCCCAAACCAGCCCAGCCACTGTCCAGGGGGCCAAGATGGGTGCCGTTACCCCGCAGCCTCACTCACCACGATGTGGATGGGCGGCAGCCCCTTCAGCATCGCGTCCGGCGCCAGCAGCGGCGACATGAACGGGTTCTTGACGATGGGCGACAGCTCCAGGGGCATGCAGGTGGCCGGCTGGTCGGAGCGCAGAGGCTGGAAGCCGTCGGGGAAGGTCAGGGTGCCGTCGTGGCTGGGGGGCACCGCCTCGTGCTTGCCGTCGCTCATGAAGAAGCTGGCTGCTGGAGGGTCCGGGTCTGGGGCTGGGGTGGGGCTTTGGGCAGGGCTTTGGGTTGGAGAGGCATCCGAGGCACAGGAAAGGTTCTGATAGGTCTGGCTCTTGCGGGATTCTTTGCTGCTGGCGAGTGACTTGGATTTGAGGCCCACCTCGGAGATGCTCTTCCTCACAGGCTCTGTGTGCCGGGTGGGGGGTGACTGGTTAGTGAGTGCCTCACAGTGCAGTTTCGACCACAGTGAGACCCGCCGTTGCCCCTCTCAGCACAAATCCCAGCGTTCACTGTTTCCCTAGAGCCAATGTTCACACAATAACTCTTCCCTCCCTCTCTGTGCACACACAGTAGCAGCTTCTGGGTTTGGGGAGAGGTGGTTATTGGGTTGTTGTTTTTATTTTGATTATATATTTTGTGGTTTTATATTTTGATTTTGTTCTGTGAACCTCTCTGAGACCTCCGGGTATAGGGCGGTACATAAATCCAATTCAACAACAACAACAACAACAACAACAACAGGGTGAATGAGGATAAACCTGCTCCCTTCCCCTCCGTGGTCACAGCCCACAGCTGCTTTCGTTTCCTGTTTCTTGCTGCAAAACCCGATACCAAGGAGAGAAAGCGACACCTGATGTAGGAAGCACCCCTGGGGACTGCGGTAAAATGCTCCAGTTTACAAAGGGGGCAGAATGTCCTCTTGTTGCAGGGAGCACACTGCCCTACCTGTCCACGCCACACATCTCCCCATACCTTCCCTGGCTAGGACCCCCCCCAAATGCTCCCCCCCACTGCCTCCTCCTTGCTATCACATGGTTCTTTGCAGTTTTGTAAACAAACCGCACTATCCATTCTGAAGGAAATCAGCCCTGAGTGCTCACTGGAAGGACAGATCCTGAAGCTGAGGCTCCAATACTTTGACCACCTCATGAGAAGAGAAGACTCCCTGGAAAAGACCCTGATGCTGGGAAAGATGGAGGGCACAAGGAGAAGGGGATGACAGAGGACAAGATGGTTGGACAGTGTTCTCGAAGCTACCAGCATGAGTTTGACTAAACTGTGGGAGGCAGTGGAAGACAGGAGTGCCTGGCGTGCTCTGGTCCACAGGGTCACGAAGAGTCGGACACGACTAAACAATAACAACAAACAAACCACAATACCTCAAGGACCGCCTCTCCCCATATAAACTGACCCAGACTCTGCAATCATCATCTGAGGCCCTTCTTTGTGTCCATGAGAGGTCCAGAGGGTGGCAACATGAGAAAGGGCCTTTTCTGCAGTGGCTCCCCATTTGTGAAATGCTCTTCCCAGGGAGGCTCGTCTGGCGCCTTCATTGCATATCTTTAGGCACCAGGCAAAAACATTCCTCTTCTCCCTAGTCTTTGTTTAATTAGCCAATCCATGTCCTTTTAAATGTGTTTGTGGGAGGAGAATTTGATTTATTTTGTTGTAATAATAATAATAATACGCTGCCCATCTGACTGGGTTGCCCCAGACACTCTGGCCAGCTTCCAGCAAGTTATAAAACCATTATTATAATAATAAATTATAACATTTATTATCTGCTTTGTGGTTTTAGTCTATATTTCATGCTGTGAACTGCCCTGAGATCTTCGCATGAAAGACTGATATACAAAGTTAAATCACCATCATCTACCACAGTGGTGTCCAAACCTTTTTTAAGGAGGGCCAGATTTGATGAAGTGAAGGGCCGTGAGGGCCGACCAAAAGGCCAACCAAAGTTGTTAACCTTTTTTTAGGATTGAAGTCGTTGATGGTTTTTTAGGATTTCCCCCCAGAAAATAAATTGCCGCAACAGACTTTGAACATGCCTGACATAACACCTCCAAAAATCCAGACCAAAGCACAAAAGTGGGAGTCCCTGTGCAAAACAAGGGCACAGCTTGCTTTGTGGGTAGAAGAACAGAAGAGCCAATCTGGTCCAGCACTCTGTTCTTACAGGGACTGGCCAGTTGCCCATGGGACGCCTACAAGCATAACCTGAGAGCAATAGCCCTCTCTCCTTGCTTGTGATTCCCAGCGGTTGTCAGAGATACACTGCCTCTGAAAGTGGAACCAGAGACACCTTTGCATGGAACATGGAAAGCTGAATTTGGCCAAAACAGACGACCCACCAACCCAGCCCAGTTCCCCAGCTGTCACCCTGCAGAGCCTCAGACAAGCGTCTTTCCCAGGTCTGTTAGCAAAGATCTTTTTACCCGGTGATCCCAAGGGTTGAAGCTGGGACTTTCTGCACAAAGAAGCACAGGCTCTACCACTTCCCTATGAGGATGCAAACATAATCCCCCTTCTCCCCTTCCTGCTCCCTTCCCCAGCAGCGTGCGCCATGGGAAAGAGTCAGCCAATGACGGGAAGGAAGGCAGCCTCCTTGAGGCCCATTGGCGTGAGCAGCTGCCAATCAATGCCAGGCTGTTTTGCACAGGGATTGTGCTGCATGCGATGCTGACCCAGTGTATCAGGCAGTAACTGTCAGTTTGCTCAGGCGAGACTTTCCCAAGCAGCGGCTGCCATAAGGAGTGTGGCCTAAAAACCCAGGACACAGAAACCCTTGCAGAATTCTGAGAATTTTGGTTCTTGCCTGAAGGAATGGCCAAAAGAACGGCAGAAAGAAAGGAAACAAGGTTCTATCCTTCAACAGTGCAGCAGGTGAGGTGGCAGCTGGGGGGACAGAGAGGAGAGAGAGAAACAATGGTCCAATTTGGCTCAGGTCATCAAAACTGGAAATCTGGGGACTAATCTACACTGCTCAGTTAAAACGTTTAAAATTGTGTTATAGAAACGTGACACCAGAGGGCGCTGTAGAGCAGTGATCTGTCGTCAATGGAGATTTGCATTGAGAGCTATATTACTTTTTTTAAAGTGTTTTTACCGATCAGTGTAGATCCAGCCTGAGTGAACAAACTCTTTTTCCTTCCCCTCTCAACCTAGCGACTCATGGAACCGTTAAAAGAGCGAAATGCAGAGAGAAAAGATGAGATTTCTGCATGCAAACATGCCAGAATCAATAGTGCAGAATGAGAATAAAGGTAAAGGGACCCCTGACCATTAGGTCCAGTCGTGACCAACTGGGGTTGCGGTGCTCATCTCGCTTTATTGGCCGAGGGAGCCAGCATACAGCTTCCGGGTCATGTGGCCAGCAGGACTAAGCCGCTTCTGGTGAACCAGAGCAGTGCACAGAAACGCCGTTTACCTTCCCACCGGAGTGGTACCTATTTATCTACTTGCACTTTGACATGCTTTCGAACTGCTAGGTTGGCAGGAGCAGCAATGGAAGCTCACCCTGTCACGGGGATTCGAACTGCCGACCTTCTGATCGGCAAGTCCTAGGCTCTGTGGTTTAACCCACAGCGCCACCTGCATCCCTAGCAGAATGAGAATAGACAGTGCAAAATCTGAGGTCCCCTGTCTCCAAAGCCTTATCTAGCTCTTTCCCACAAATGCCATGCCGAGCCAGCAGCAGCAGCAACAACAACACCCCAAGCCAGCCAGCTCTGTACCCTGTTCAGACGATGCCAATGCACATGCCACCCTGTGCCAGCTGCAGGACCCTCCCCTGGGGCTGGCCAGCAAGGACGTTGATGCAGCCCTGCTCCCTTCTCCTCGCCTCAAGCAGCGCTGCATGCCGTTAGGGGCAGGAGGCGGCTCCTACCAGCTGCCAGGTTAGTAAGAGTCGGGCCCTGCGATCGGAAGAGCCGCGCCAGGGACAACATCGCCAGCAGCTGGGCCAGGGGGCACCGGCAGGAGCCCGGCAGGCCCCAGGAGAAGGGGCAGTGCCCTGCAGAGACAAGATGGCACAGAGGATGGCGGGGAATGAGGAGCAAGAAAAAATGGCGAGGCCGAGGAGAGATGGGGGAGAGCTGCTTCTTACCTATCGGGGCGTCAGCCCCATTGATCTTGCCCGTGTTCTCCAGCAAGGAACCAAACAAGGAGGAAGCTCCCAGGCGCAAGTCTCGGAAGAGCATGGTGGTGTCTCGGCGCACCATGTTCACGGGGCTCAGTTTCTCCAGGGTGGGAGACTCACACTGTTCTGGCTCCATCCCTTGGAATGGAAAGGGGGGAAAGAAACCCAGACAGTCAGGACGAGACGTGTTCCCTAAAACCGTACAAACACACCCTGATTTTTGCCATGCCCTTATAACCTTCCGGCTCCCTTTCCTACACCTCTCATGGTACTCCTCACCATCTCTTTCATTTTCTGGTTTTATTCGGGGTACAAGTCTTATACAAGTTTTAGTATATGTGCTGCCTACTGGTGAGGCTCGCTGACCTCCCGGAAAAGCAAAAAATCGACCTTTTCCTGTTAGGCAAAGATCAGAAGACGACCCAGATGGTCGCCAGATTCTGTGTACAGATCTGTAGGCGCAGACCATCTCCCGACTCAAACTAGTTCGTTAAGAAAATCCCCAAACTCGGTTCCATGGGTGAATCTGGGTCAGCTCCCTGCAGTAGTTTATCTTAAAGTTTCAAGTGTCTATACGCTTATCGCGTTTATTAATTTTAAATTTATTGTTGTAAGGTAAAGGGGACCCCTGACCATTAGGTACAGTCGTGACCGACTCTGGGGTTGCGGTGCTCATCTCGCTTTACTGGCAGAGGGAGCCGGCGTACAGCTTCCGGGTCATGTGGCCAGCATGACTAAGCCGCTTCTGGCGAACCAGAACAGTACACGGAAATGCTGTTTACCTTCCCACCGTAGTGGTACCTATTTATCTACTTGCACTTTGACGTGCTTTTGAACTGCTAGGTTGGCTGGAGGAGGGACAGAGCAACGGGAACTCACCCCATCGCGGGGATTCGAACCGCTGACCTTCTGATTGGCAAGTCCTAGGCTCTGTGGTTTAACCCACAGCGCCACCTGTGTCCCTAATTTATTGTTGTACATTGTTTTAATTGTTTGTTTTCCTTCTGTGACTGTACCCCCAAGTGTGTTTTATAAGCTGGTCTCTGACCATAATAAATTATCTATCTATCTTATACAAGGATTGACGGCTGCCTTACAGGGCTCCGGTGAAATAAAGAGAAAACAGTTTTGCGTTTTAAAAGCAGCAGCAGAAACGCCACAGTGCGTCTGAGGCCAGATGCCTTCAACTCTGTATTTCAAAGATGTCTGCAAATAAGATAGGAAGGCTGGCAATGTCAACACTGCCATGTGGAAATCCCTTGTAGATGTGCTTGGAGATAAGCAGTCAGGTCGTGCATCCACAGTGACCAGAGCAGAAATGACCGCTGGGAGGAGCGCAGTGAGAATAAGCATGCAGCCACACAACTGGACACCTTCCTCTGCCCCAGCTGCAACAAAACATGTCTCTCCCTTATCAGTCTCAACAGCCACAGCAGGCACTGTAACTCTCCAATGGTTTGACTTCACTCCCAAAGGCGCAGTCCTCCGTGGTCTCCCGAGACAGAAAGATGCCAGCCAACCACACAGCCAAGCTTAACCAACCCATGGACCTCCAACCGCTGCTTCCCTCTGCCCGCCAGGAGTGATAACCCTCTTGCCCCCCGAGCATCCCCTGCCCTCACCGGCATAGGCACTGAGGCACTTGCACAGCACGCTCAGAGGCAGGAGCGGGTCGAGCAAGGTGAGGAGGCGGGAGGGCGAGGCCGAGACCTGCATGAGGGTGGCCGGGTACGCCGCCATGATCCCGTCTGGCATCTTGATCCCAAAGGCGGCCGCCCGCATGGAGACCGTGATGCACAGGTTTCCGCCAGCGCTGTCTCCCGCGAGGCACACCGTCTGGGCTGTGGAACCTGCCAAGCGGCGAGGGAGAGAAAAGAGGTCAGAACCACTCGGGGCAAGCACGGCAGAGGGCTCTTTTTCAAAACCAGCAGCAGAACCCTCTCCGAATGCCAGACACGGCGGGCGGTGGCAGTGCCCACACTTGGGAATTCCCTATCTATTGACACCAGGCAGGCATCTTTGCTGTATTCTTTTCAGCACCTTCTAAAAACCTTTTTCTTTAGGCCCATATAGATCAGTGGTTCCCAACTGGCGGTCTGTGGACCCCAGGGGTTCCGTGGGACATAACAAAAAACTACCATAGCGGTATCAACATTTTTCAAAAGTGTGGGGGGGTCCCCCCTGGCTTGGCTTTTGAAAAAATAGGAGGTTCACAGTACTTAGCTAATTGGGAACCACTGATCCAGACTGCTGATATGTATTTTAATCTTTTTCTTGTTGATCATGATTTTTAATTATTACTATTTTTTAAAAATGCTTTAATTAGCAGCTTTCGACTGCTCGCAACAGTAATTTGATTGCTTCCTTCTTTCTGTAAACAGCTTTGAGATTTAATTTTTACTTTTACAGCCCGGCGGTGCATAAATTTCATGAAATAATAAGTCAACGAACAAAGCAACATGGGAAGCCCTGGCTGTGAGCCTCAAGAGAAGCCTGGCTGGGTGGCTGGCCCTGGAAACCCGTTGTGCACCAGAAGCAGGGCAAAAGCTGGTAGAAGGCTTTCATTATTATTATTTTTAGCTCTATGCAAACAAGGCATTTACACTGAGTAGACCTTACACTGAATATGACACCCCCAGATGTTGCTTGCTGGAGCCATGCTTGCTGGGGCACTAGTGGGAGTTGCCGTTCAGATCTGGAGGTCTCCAGCTCTGCATGTGAAATGTCCCTCCTACCATCTCTGGAAGGAGACCTGGGAAACCGAGCTCCGCCTGAGATTTGGGCCCAGGGCAAGGATGGGGGGAACCTGGGTCCCTGCCCCAGAGGCTCCTCGACTCTGTTTCCAACCAGTATGGCCAATGGTCAGGTTCATTCCTAGGAAAGCTCAGTTGGCAGAGCGTGAGACAGTTAATCTCAGGGTCGTGGGTGAGAGTCCCACGTTGGGGGAAAAGATTCCTGCATTGCAGGGACTAGAGGATAGACATGGTCCCTTCCAACTCTACCATTCTATGATTCTAAGATGCTAGGGTTGCCATATCTTGAAGAGCAAAAAAGAGAACAGTCCAAGCCGCCTAAGCCCGAAAAACCTGGACACTTCCTTTAAAATTTAAAAATCCGCCCGAATGGGCATGTTGGCCCTGCAAGAGGACATGTCCTGGTTTTCCCGGATATATGGCAACCCTAAAGATGGGAGCTGTGGTCCATGCCTGGCATAGGGACACACTGATCTAGGCAGACAGACGGTCAGAGCCAGCAGAGAGCAGCTTCCTGTGATCTTCCGAGGAGGATCTTAGCAGCTGGTTCCTCTCAGGCCACTATGGCCAAGGCCCAGTTCTGGCCCCCACCTCCTTCCTTCCCCCCAGCCCTCCTTTTCTCACCCAACAGGTGGCAGTTCTTGATGGCCCAGCAGTAGGCATAGAAACACTCTTCCAAGGCCCGAGGAAAGGGAGCCTCCGGCGCCAGCGAGTAGTCGATGGAGAGGATGGGGGCGCCCAGTTCCTGAGCCCAGGATTTCAGGTAGGGCTCGTGCGACTTGGAGGTCTGGGCCACGAAGCCGCCGCCGTGGAAATGCACCACCAGGTAAGGCGAGCGGGGCAGGGGCTTGGTCCTCCAGCGCAGCTCCAGGGCCAGGGGGCCTTCGGGGCGCATGAGGTTGCAGAGCTCCTCGCTGTCCTGGAAACGGGAAAAGCAAGCGGTCGTGGGTGCAGTGCCAGGCCCCGAGAGGCAAAAGGAGCCCAGCTGGCATCCACCTGCCGCCGCCCGGCGGTGCCAGTCCCCGGGGCCGTCAAAATCTCAAAGGGCTCTCTTGACAAACAAGATCGCTGTGACGCATTCCTGGAATCTGTTGCTCCAGGCTGCAAGCAGAGAATTGGATGGTTGAATGATCCTCCGTTTAAATGAAAAATGAATTTTGCATTTGGGTAACCCTCAACCGTTGCGGAACATGGAATTTGCCCTCTCCCTCGTGCATGGCAGGTTCCTGATTTGAGGCAAACCGCAGTTCTCCTAGTCGTCTGTGGCAAACCCTGGTTTGCTTGTCCTGCAAGCCAGGATCAAACCCCGGAGGAAGGTAACAGGCATGTGAGGGGGGAAAGGGGGAGGAGGAAGGACAGAAGCCTGAGGTTCAGGGCAACCTCGGAACCGGAGCACTGAAAACGAGGCGCTTATTTTAAATGTGTACAGTGGTACCTTGGTAGTTGAACGGCTTGGCTCCTGAACAAATCGGCTCCCGAATGCCGCAAACCCAGAACTGAATGCTCCGGTTTGCAAACGTTTTTCAGAAGCCAAGCGTCCGGTGCGGCTTCCGCTTGAGTGCAAGAAGCTCCTGCAGCCAATTGGAAGCCGCGCCTTGGTTTTCAAACGGTTTCAGGAGTCAAACGGACTCCTGGAATGGATTAAATTTGAGAACCAAGGTACCACTGTATATTCTGCTTTTTCTGCTTAAAAAAGCCTCAAGCAGCTAACAATGAAAGCCATACAATTAAACGCACCACCAGCAACAAAGACAATGACCAAAAAAACATTTGCTGGAAACCACAGGAAAGGAGAGCGCTCTTGTGTTTGGGTCTGCTTCCCAGAGGCATCTGGTCTGCCAGTATGAGAACAGGGTGCTGGGCAGGATGGGCTGCTGGCCTGATCCAGCAGTCTCCTATGTCCTGAATGGCAACAGAGTGGTTAAAAAGCTGTACGTCAGAGAGAAGGACAGGCCAGCTCCCTTGTCCTTGACTCCGGGTTTCCTGAAGTCAGGGAAACTGGCATGTGGAACGGCATCCAATTACAGAGCAGTCCCGCTCAGCCAGGGTCCTGTCCGAGAATGGTTTGGCCACGTGATGAGACCGTACGCCTGGAGAAGCTTTTTCAGCCTGCGGAACTAGTTCCCTTGCAGGCAATCTTCTCGGGGCACAGGCTAGCAGTGGCTGCGATTGGATGCAAAAGCGGCCATGCAAAATGACAGACCCACCCCCCATAGCTTTCCATCCAGGCATGCGAGAGGCATCAGTGCTGTTGAAGGACAAATTCCAGCAAGGCAAAAGCCCTTGAGGGGGTGGGGCAGGGCTGGTGAAAGGGTGGACTAGGGAGAGCCCCAGGGGCCAGGGAGAGCGGTCTGAAGGCCCCATCCAGAGACTAAATAAAGCCCAGGATTCCACATGCCTCAAAGCTACGGGGTCTGACCCTGCTCATCCGCCCTAGCTCAAGCCAACCCGCGGCTGCTCCCAGCTGCTTACCTGTCCCTCACGCAGCTCGTGGGAGATGAGTCTCATCTGCACGGCTCCTGGTCCGGTGTGGGCAACTGGGGGGGTGATGGTGACTGTCAGCTGGGGGTCGGCAACCAGAGGCAGGTCAAAGGAGTGTGGTGGCACCAGCAGCGCCCGGGATAACCGGACCTGGGAGGAGGCCATGCTGGCGAGGGACTGCGGAGAGGGCAGAAGCTGTGTGAGAGCCCTAGGATTGAATATCCAAAGAGCAGTTCCCCAAGGGAATATCCAGGGCAGAAGTGGCCCGCAAGGGACCAAGTACACAGCATGAACGGCAGGAACAGTGCTGCATCACTAATAATAATAATAATAATAATAATAATAATAATAATAATAGCAATAATATACTCATACCCCATCCATCTGGATGGGTTTTCCCAGCCACTCTGGGTGGCTTCCAACAGAATATTAAAGACACGATAGAACATCAAACATTAAGAAGAAGAAGGGAAGAAGAGTTTGGATTTGATATCCCGCTTTATCACTACCCAAAGGAGCCTCAAAGCGGCTAACATTCTCCTTTCCCTTCCTCCCCCACAACAAACACTCTGTGAGGTGAGTGGGGCTGAGAGACTTCAAAGAAGTGTGACTGGCCCAAGGTCACCCAGCAGCTGCATGTGGACGAGCGGAGACACGAACCCGGTTCCCCAGATTACGAGTCTACCGCTCTTAACCACTACACCACACTGGCTCTCTAAACTTCCCTAAACAGGGCTGCCTTCAGATGTCTTGTAAAAGTCAGGTAGTTGTTTATTTCCTTGACATCTGACGGGATGGTGTTCCACAGGGTGGGTGCTACCACCGAGAAGGCCCTCTACCTGGTTCCCTGTAACCTCACGTCTCACAGCGAGGGAACCGCCAGAAGGCCCTCAAAGCTGGACCTCAGTGTCCGGGCTGAGTGATGGGGGTGGAGAGGCTCCTTCAGGTATACATACAATTTGGACAGCCCATTTTGTTGCTATAGGTGCCCCCCTTGCTAAACCTGTCCATCTGTCCATCTTTCACAGTTCCCACAACCTCTGCCTCGCCTCACGCTCCCTGCCATCTGATCATGCCTCCTCCAGGCCTCCCCCTCCGACCCAGGCAGAGTCTCTCTCCCATCCAAGGTCCCTTCTCCCCCCAGTAGGTCCGACTTCCTGTCGTCTGAGGCAGGACTCACAGCCAGCAGCTCCATCTCAGTGAGGTTCCAGAAGCTCTTCCAAAAGTGCACGTCCAGGTTCTGAGTGATGCGCTCAAACTCTGTCCCACGGAGCTCGGGGTCAATAGCAAACTTCCCGCTGGTGAAGAGAGAGCTGGCGGCCACGCCTGCGCGGGGGAGGGGGGGCAACGAGAGAGAGAAAGAGGAAGAAGACGGAAAGGGAGGGAGATCAAAGGTGTTGGGTGACATCTCAGGGGAAAACCTCTGCTCCGAATTTCGGGAAAGGGGATGCCCACATTATTATATCCCCTTGTGCATCTAGTGCAGGAGAGAGTAAAATAAAATATGTGGTACCACGAAGCTCATTGCTAGTAGCAGAGAGTGAGGTCAAGCGTTGACACATTTTCCAGAGACACTGGACTTCCTACGCATAGCGGGGATGTGCCTGTGGCGCTTATGCGCTGCAAAAATGTGCTTGTTCCACTGCTTCTACAGTGATTGGAATCCTTCCTGACTTGAGACAACCTTTTCTGCCCTTGGGAGACGGTTGGCTTATACTTCAAAATACAGTGGTACCTCTGGTTGCGAACAGGATCCGTTCCGGAGGTCCGGCCATATCCCGAAGTTTTGACAACCGGAGAGACTGCTTCTGCGCATGCGTGCGTGGCAAAACACTTCCAAATTGCTGCTTTCGCAGCTCGAAGTTTAAGTTATCCGAGGGTAACGTAACCCAAGGTTCCATTGTAACCGCCCTATTTTTCCATCTATAAGACGCCCCCTATTTTAGGGGACTCAGATTTAAGAAAATAGGGGGGAAGATGTCTCCGTGTATAAGACGCCCCCTAATTTTTTACATTGTTTTTTAGGGGGTAAACCTAGTTTTATACACGGAAAAATACGGTATTTATTTGTTTCTAGCCCATTCTTGTCTTCAAGGTGCTCAAGGCAGTATACATGGATCTCTCCCCACCCCACCCTCATTTAATCCCAACAACAACCTTGTGAGGCAGGTTCGGCTGAGAGGCAGTGACTGGCCCAAGGTCACCCAGTGAACTTCATCCATGGCCTAGGCGGGATTGGAACCCCGGTCTCTCCTAGGCCCTAGTCCAACATGGCACCACACGGTCAAAATAATACAAAAAACGTGAGAGGAACAGCACTTTGACCCACTGGCCAGTCATGCGTCCTGGGAAAAGGAGGCAGCTATGCATTACAGGGAGGGGGAAACAAACGTTTTGGTATTCAGGGGGACACAATGGGGAGAGGACAACAGTTCCCATGTTGTTGATGTGCCAAGATATGGCTGCCATTCCTCCCCCACCCCCACTCACCAATGCCGGACACATGGCGCTTGTAATTTTCCCCAAAGGAGACGAGGCTGATGGCGATGGTCTGCAGGAAAGGCCGGATCGAGGGAGCGAACTGGGAAGGGAAAGGTCAACATTAAGGCTGGGCAGAAACTCTTAATGAATTAAATAATTACATTTGTTTGTTTCTTTTTCTTGCCCAGGGCAACCCAAATTAGAGCGGGGTGGGGAATATCCTAAAAACACCCCACCCACTTCTAAAAGGCTATAGATAGTTTAATAAGCAAAAGGCTTATTATATGGTTGAAGAGGAATGTTTTTGACAGGTACCTAAAGCTATATGATGATGGTGCTAGGCGAGCCTCCTTGGGGAGAGCATTCCACAAATGGGGAGCCACCACAGAAAAGGCCCTGTTCTCAAGTTGCCTCTCTCTGGAACTCAAAGAAGGGCCTTAGATGATCACAGGATCCTGGTAGGTTCATATGGAGAGAGGTGGTTCTTGAGGCACGGTGGCCCTGAGCTCTTCAAGGCTTTATAGGTTATCACCAGCACTTTGAATTGGGCCCAGAAACTAATTGGCAGCCAATGCAGTCGGGCCAGGATTGGTGCAATATGCATAAACCGTCTTGCCCCAGTAAGCAGCCTGCCTACTGAATTCTGCACTGAAGAGTGCTGAAGCTTCTGAACCGTTTTCAGAGGCAGCCCCACATATGAGGCATCGAACTATCCTAAAGGTTACAGAGCATAGACGGCAGAAGTTAGGCAATCCCCATCCAGACTGGGGCAGAGCTGGGCCACCAGCCAAAGCTGATGGAAGGCACTCTGCACCACCAAAGGCCACCTGAGCCTCAAGCAACATCAATGGAGAGGGAGGGTAACCCCATCAGGAGCAGGCAACTTCCCATCCATCCAGTCTAGAGAACCACCCACTAACAGCCTTGTCTGGACTGAGCTTCGGTTTGTTGACCCTAATCCAGTTCATTACCGAATCCAGTCCGGCACATCCAGGGACACACCACACTTCCCAAACACGGCTGCTGGTTCCAAGCCCGAGAAAGGCAAGTTGAGAAATCTATAGCCAGAGGACCAAACCATGGGAGACGGGGAACAGGATGTTGCGTTTGGGGAACTGGTTGCTCGCAGGCAGAGGCCTGGCCGGGTCTGGTTCTCATAGCCTGAGCCAAACATGCTAGAAAAGGATGAGGCAGAAGAAGAAGAAGAACTGCTGGATCCCTGTTGCCAAGTCCTGCCAGGGTTCCTGGCTGCATGGACTGGGTGAAGTCAGAGAGTCAGGGAAGCTCCAAAATGGAGATCCAAACTCAGCAGGGAAACTTTGTCTCCTGTGAGACAGGGCGATGACTGGCAAGTGTGTTGGGCTGGAGGAGGGAGAGAGCCAGAGGGACTTGCATGACCCATGGCTCAGGGCCACGCAGCCAAGGCCGACGCCTGCGTGGAAAAGAAGAGAGAAGGAAAGGGGAAGGCCAGAGCTGGCTTTCCGTGACGGGGAGGCCCTGACTCCGCTGTGTGGCAGGCAACTCTTGCCACAGAGGCTCCTTCGGGACAAACACGGAGGGCTCTGTGTTGGGCAAATCAGATTAAGGGAGCTGATGGGGACCGGCGTGAGCTCTGCAGAGAATAAGGTGAACTTCTTGGGAGGAGTACAGAGGTCTTGTGAGGAAAGGGCACCAGCTTCTCCTGGGATGAAGCGGGCTCTCCTGGCAATTATTATTACTACTGCAGTATCAGACGGCCGCTACGTAAAAATCAATAACAAAAAGCACAGAGCAAACACGGGGAGGGGGGGGATGATGACAGGTCCCTGCCCCCAGGAGAATACAGCTGACTGCAGCCAGTGGTGGAGGAACAACAGAGAGAGGAGTCAGGCCAGGCCAACAAGGGATGAATGCAAGCAAACACAGCTGTGGCAAATTCAGCCAAGCTATAGATGGGGTTGGAGAGGGCAGTCAGCAACTTCACAGGGTTTGGGCTGAGGGGAAGGAGAAGGAAGGCTGAAGCTCCGCTGCCTTACATGTAGAAGGTCCCAGGATAAGTTTCTGACACCTCTAGGTGGGGCTGAGAACATCCCCCTGCCCTCCTCCGAAACCCTGGAGAACTGCTGCCAGTCAGTGAGGCGATATTGCGCTAGCTCCGAGGGCCTTCTGGTGGTTCCCTCACTGTGAGAAATGAAGTTACAGGGAACCAGACAGAGGGCCTTCTCGGTAGTGGCACCCTCCCTGTGGAACGCCCTCCCGTCAGATGTCAAAGAGATAAACAACTTTGAGAAGACATCTGAAGGCAGCACTGTATGGGGAAGTTTTTAATGCCTGATGTTTGGCTGTGTTTTTTATATTATTTTGGAAGCCACCCAGAGTGGCCGAGACAACCCTTTCAGATGGGCGGAATATAAGTAATTAATTGTAATTATAATTTTTATTATTTATGGACCAATTGTCTGACTCAGTCCAAAGCAGCTCATGCCCCCAGGTACTGTGCAGATAGATGTCCCACTGCGAAGACATCAAGGGGGAAAGACCAAGCTCCTTTTAGAACAGGAGACCACAGAAATGATGACAGGTAGGAACATGGGGGTTCACTGATGCCTGCAACGGGTCAACGGCTACCTCCCCAAAGCCTAGGACCTCCATGCGGGCTGAGCGCCTCTCCTCCGCCTCACCTGGAAGCCCATGCAGCGCCCGTAGAAGCAGCCCTTGTGCATGGTGATGTACTCCTGCAGGAACTGCTCAGAGAGCCCTCGGTCCTCATGGTTGAAGAGTTGGCCGGGCTGGTTCTGGGTGAGAAGGCGCTGGGCCAGGTAGACGAGGGCTCGCAGCTGCGTCAAGGCGGTGCAATAGGCCTCCAGCTCGGCGCAGTTGTGGCTGGTACGGAAGAAGATGCTGCGCCGGTTGGTAGCCACGTAGCGGCTCTTGTGGACGATGTGGGCCAGGCAGCAGCGCACCGTCTGCGCCAGGCTCCGGTAGCCGTTGGCCGGCGTGTGCTCGTCCAGGTCAAAGATGTGGTAGATGGTGGCAAAGTGGCTCAGCACCGGCTCCAGGCACCGGGCGTGCTCCCGGATGGTGGTGAAGGCCGCCACAAAGCGCCGGCCCGTCTCGCTGGTGCTCTCCTGGAAGAAGTTGACGTTGTCTTCTGCCAGCGCATGCAGGGTCTGGAACAGGGGCCGAGGATCCATGGTGTTGGCGACGGGGGGGCCTGGAAGAGGAAAGGAGAGCTGTGAGGGGGTCCCCTCCGGAGAGAGGCGGGTACGAAGGGAGCCGGGTGGAGAAGTTATGCTGCTGCGACTGAGCGCAAGGAGCCTCTCACCAAGCGAAGAGCGCGCCTTCGCCGGACGTCCTGCCCCTTACTTACACTCCCCTGTCACTGCCTCAGCTACGTACTCCACATTCCCTGATTCCTCGGCTTCCATGTCTCCTCCGCGCAGGCCGGAAGCCCTGTGAGCAGAGCGGGCATCGCTTACTAAGACAATATCAATGTACGGAAGAGCCCGTTTCCAGAGGGCTCCACCCAACTCTCTCTCAACGGTTCTGTCACCCAGGAATAACGCCTGATGTGGGCTCTCCTGATGAAGCTGTGCAGGTGAGAACCAAGCCCACTCCACGTAAACATGTAAAAAATGCAGGCAGGATTTGAATGAAGAGCAGCAGTTGAGTATTTGTTGGGAGCACAGTGCAGAATATTTATAATATGCAGCAAATTTAGAAATTATGGGGGAACTATGGTGGGGTGAAACTGTATGTGCAATGTATGTCTACTTGGAAGCATGTATCAATTTGTAAACTTTTGAAATTCGAAAATAAAACTTTAAAAACCCCCCAAAAGAGAATCAAGCCTACACCTAATGGATGGAGCAGGCAGATGTTGCCCACATCTCAGTGGGGTCCCCGAGTTCCCTCTTTTATCCCTCCTCCCGCCACTGGTTGCAGCTCACCTCTAAGAGCAGGTAGGGGTTAAGGTGAGCGCAAAACTTAAGCTGTTGACCCTGGTGAGGTACAGGCAAAAACCTGCTCCCTTTCTGGTGGAGCGATGGGACATGCCTCTGACTGCTGGTGGTTTGAGCCTGCCCAGAGATGGCTGTGTATTGCAGGGAGTTGGACCAGGTGACCCGGGGGGGGTCCTTTCCCAAACTCTAATTCTGTGACTGGCAAGCCCCCGACCCTCGCCGACAGGTGCCCAAAGCACTCCCCACAAGCACAGCCCACCCACATTTAATAAATAACCATCATCCTATCAACAGGCCTTCCAAATAGTTAGGAGCAGCCTCCAGCACTTCAAAGACGTCCAAAGCTCTTTGCACCCTCAAAAATCCTGACAACAGCCCTGCCAGGGAGGCCAGCGGTGGCAGCAGAGGTCTCGGATCGCTGAGGAGGCAAGAGCCTGGTCTCAGGCTACCAGGGGACAGGAGGCAGCTGACACCCCAGCCAGTTCTTGGAGACACTTGAGCACAGGAAGAGAAAGGGGATTGTGTCGAGGGTACTCACCCACCGCTGCCCACCAAGGACCAGGGCTTCCTGATGCCGCCTGGAGTTGCCTTTCGGCCACTGGCTGCCTGCCCAGCCAGCCGGCTTAAAAGAGGGCTGGGGAAGTCAACAGGCTGGCCCCGCCTCGGAGGAGGGGACGAGGGAGGGAGAGTTTGGGATTGACTGGGAAGGGGAAGGAGGGCCAAGCTGCCAAGCTACCGTCTCAGCCCATCTCTGTTTCCCCCTCGGCAGCGTTCTGGAATGCTGAGGCGCTGCATCAAAATTCCAACATTCCAGTTCCGCTGCCAGTTCCCTCTCCGCAAACCCATGGCTGGAATAAACTAGCCACAGAGTGGTTGGTGTGCATGAATTGTTTTCTTCACCGGATATATTTGGTACCCGCAGCAAAGCTGCGGGGAGGGTGGAAGGTGCTGGCTTCGGAGTATCATTATTGGGTACTGTTTTCTGAGAGTGCAAAGGACCCCAATGGGGAAGAGGCTTCACGAGGGAAGCTGAGCTAGGAAAACTGGGGAGAGAGCAACAGGTGGGAGTGGGGAGACAAGAGGAAAATGAGGAGCACGAGGCAGAAATTTAGGGGTTGTGGGGAATGGAGGTCTCAGTCCTCGGATGCTTGTCCCTCCAGCTGGAATTACTTGTGTATATTCTGGAGGTTTAAAATACAGCTGCTCCCACACCCCACCACACTTTTCAAGTCACACTTGCATGTTGTTGTACACACCGGAGAGCAGGGGGAGATATTTTCACCCAAAGTGCATTGCCTGTTGGGTTTTCCTGTGGTTGCGAGAACGCCTCCAATTGTGTGTGGGGGGGAAGCTGCCCCCCTAAAAGGGTAAAAGGGACCCCTGACAGTTAAGTCCAGTCGCAAACAACTCTGGGGCTGCACTGCTCATCTCGCTTTACAGGCTGAGGGAGCCGGCGTTTGTCCGCAGACAGTTTTTCCAGGTCATGTGGCCAGCATGATTAAGCCGCTTCTGGCACAATGGAACACTGAAACCAGAGCAGCGCACGGAAACGCCATTTACCTTCCCACCGGAGCGGTACCTATTTATCTACTTGCACTTTCGAACTGCTAGGTTGGCAGGAGCTGGGACAGAGCAATGAGAGCTCACCCGGTTGAGGGGATTCGAACTGCCGACCTTCTGATCGGCAAACCCAAGAGGCTCAGTGGTTTAGACCACAGCTCCACCCGCGTCCCAGCTGCGCCTATAAATCAAGTAAGTAAATAAAAATACTTAACTAACTGACCAATTGCATCACAGATAGCTCTCTTCTGCTCCCCTCTAACAAAAGTCCTGCTCCCCCTAACATAATTCCTAGCTACGCCCATGCCTCCAACTCCTATTCCTGAAGCTGTCATCTGAGCATGTGCAGTGGCTGCCTCAGATGTACACACCTCAGCAAAGGGAACATGGCATATATTTCTGAACTGTGTGGAAGCTGGTTCGAGGGGAAACACAACGAACAGCATCATTTCCCAAGAAACTACAGGATAGATATGGATTGGTGCTAATGCCATGCACACTACAGCTTCAAACGCCGGAGCCAGGGTAACCAGCACTGTGTAAACAGCCGTTGCCTGTTTCTTCCTCTGCAATTAATGAGGACTAGAAACCTAGTGCTTTCCCCCACTAAAAGGATGCGGAGAGTCTAGCCGTTCTTATTATTATACTGTACACCACATGATATATTTCTGCACTGGAGGGCAGGACCCGAACCAATGGATTCAAGTTGCAAGAAAGGAGATTCCAGCTAAACATCAGGCAGAACTTTCTGAGAGTAAGAGCTGTTCGATAGTTGGGACTCTCCTTCCTTGGAGGTTTTTAAGCAGAGGTTGGACGGCCATCTGTCATGGAGTTGAGATTCCTGCATTGCAGGGGGTTGGACTAGATGACCCCCAGGGTCCCTTCCAACCCTGTGAAATAGTGTGGCAACAAAGATTCCAAAACCCCGGTCCTCAGCAACCACAGACCTATTATATTCTTTTGCATTTAATACTGTAGGAACTGATTTGGTTGATTCTGTAACAGAAGAATGATGCTATTTGCACCAGAAGAACAGAACAGAACAGGCTCCTGCTCTTCCCCACACAGGGCAGGGAGCCAGGGCTGCTTATGGGGCTCCCGTGACCATGTTTTCAAGAGCGGTGCCAATTAGACCAACTCTTTCCAGGAGGGCCACATGCTCCCCATGTGCAGACAGGTCCCATGGGGCTCCTTGAAGCTCATCTGAGAGCTGTAGAGCAACAGCCTTTGAGCAGAGCGCTAAGGGCAAGAAAGGGGCATTGCACTCGTTGAGCCAGATCAGAAAAAACTAATAGGGATCACAGACTCGCCAGCAAACGGTCCTGCGACTTCTATTTAAATCAGACAACGTGGGGCACAATTTGAAATGGTCAGACTTCAGCCCCATTCTTAAAGCGGCCCATGCCAACTTTTCATGCAGGGGCTGGAATGTCTTTATTTATTCGAACACCAAATGAAATATTACTCCTTGCTATGGCGTACCTGCTGTTTCTGCCCTCAGTCAGCTAAGAGGAGGCTTCTTTCCCTTCCGATTAACAGGAATTTGCAATTGCGCTCCGTTTCTGACCTTTGTTATGCCTTCCCCACTTTCCCAATTCCTTCCTCACGCCTTGCTCCCTCCTCCACTCTGACTCCACTAAAAACAATCCCAGATTCATCATAAGCACACACCACGCTTCAAAAATACATGTGCTCGTAAGGTGTCCATAGTGCAGGCAAATGCACCTCTGCAAAGGTTTTTACGCACTTTTCTCTCTCACACACAAACTGAGCCATCCTGCCCCCATTCTTTTGACACTCTGTCAGAGGGACAGGCCTACCAGCAATCTGAATGCCAACTGAATTATCTCACCTTGCCCATTCCACAACGCCTTTTTAATTCATTTATTCTTTTCTTGGGGCTAGGCTGCCGAGTTATTCACGTCGGCATCTGTCATCGCTTCCAAGATGGCCTTTTTAAACGTTAAAGGTGGTGAAACCTCCCAGGTGTGGAATTGTAACGTCACGGGCACTAGCCAAACAGCACTGTGCACAGTCAGCTTCTGCTGCCAAGTGGCAGAACCAGTTTTCATCATCCTGGATCTTGGAAAGAAATACGTAAGTATCTTTCTATGCAGTGCAGCAGGGGCACCTCAACCGCTGAAGTTGACTTATTTATTTGAAGTACTTATACCTCTCTTAGCAGCCAAAATCTTGAAGCAGCTTGCAACAAAATGGACAATAACTCCACAGTTACAAAAATGAGCTAAGAGGCATATTATATATATCAGTTCCCCCTTCGTCCTCCCATGTTCCAACCACCAGTCTGCAGCTGGTTCTCCCAGCCTGGATCTCGCTTTCAAAGCTACCAGATGTTGTTGATGTCGTCATTCTTATTTCTAATTACTGAATTTATATCCCACCCTTCCTCCTGAAGAAGCCCAGGGTGGCAAACAAATACACATCTTTCTTTTAAAAAAAGCATTTTAAGACAGCTAAAACATTCTGAAATCAGTTTAAAGCATTATTTTATCCAGTGATCTCAGGATTGCTCGGAACAGCACCCCTTCGTCCACCAAATGCCAAACAGGAATGTTCTCAAATGCATCCTGAAAGTTAATCATGATGGAGACAGACGTACCTCACTAGGAAGGTTATTCCATGAACGAGGAACCACCACAAAAAAGGCCCCGTCACAGGTGAGCCGCCAATGGTGCCACTACCAACAAGGTCCTACCTGCCAATCATACGGTCCGAGACGGTTGATACTGGGGAAGGGGCTCATTTAAGTATTTGGGTCCCTAGGAATTTAGCAACCCACAAGCCAGGGCCGCCTCACTGCCCTGTCACTGCTGTCTTCCCAGCCCCTGGTGGCTGATGCAGGAGATCCAGGAGCAGCAAAGGTGTTACAAGTTTCCCGTACCCACAACTTTCAGGTTTATAGTGGGCCTCACCCTAAGAGACGTACAGCATCCTTTTAAACAACAAAGGGTTAAATCCTTTTTATCATTAACCTGAGTTTTCTTCCTAGAAGAGAATGGAAACTGCCCCTTCTGTTTTATTGCACCAGCTGAAGAAGAATCGAGTGGCCCTCCAGATGTGGTCGTAGTTCAGCTCCTGTCAGTCCCCAGTCGGGATGGTGGCAGTCCCACAACATCTGGAGGGCCACAGACTCCCCATCCATGTTCTACAAGCGGCATGGAGTTCCAAAGATGGGATGTTTGAAAAGACGAGATGCGGAAGGCAAAACTTAGTTATGAGCAAGAGCTGAAAGATCTGCGCTGCTGGGAGATGCCCAGGCTTTCACCATTCCCTCCCAGGACGTGGAGTTTGAGACTTGCCCAGCTGAGTCACCACTTTGGCATCTGTTGGGGAAGAAATGTTTCTGGGTAAACTAGGAAACACATGGGGGCAGGATGAGAGCAAGGGGCACAGGCAGCAAAGGGGGCACATGTCAAATGCCAAAAACATGGAAAACAGGGGACTGGGAGAGAGGGCAGGGAACAGCCTCACAGCTGGAACTGGACAGGGATTGGGGAGGGAGGAAGTCAACTGTCTCCCTTCTCGGCAGGGTGTGAAACCTTTGCCCTTTAACCTCTGCTGCGCAAGGGGGAGAGAAGGGGGGCTAGCTTAAGGAATGACAACCTGCGGTGAAAGCCAAGCCTCCTCCATGTCACACCATGTCCACGTGGCTCTCGGATTGGCGGACGACAGACCCGCACCCGTTCCTGGCCTTCCCCTCCCCTCTCCACCTCCTCACCCCAGGTGCTCCACTGCCGCAGTTTCTAGCAAAAACACAAACCAGCGAGAAACAGCATCTCACGCGGCTCTGCCAGGGCTAATGCCCGCATCAGTTAAGATCATCAGGTGACCTCTGGGGCACAGGCGCAAGCTGTGCCAGGCGCGCTCAACACAAATCTCCCTTTGTGGCCGCCAGCTGAGCTGCCGGCCTCCTCCCTGCCCCTTGGCGTGACCGTGAGGGCAGAGAAAAGGCTGGTCGGAGATTCTGCCAGGAGCAAAAGGGTGCCCGGTTCTGCAACGCTCATAGATTGGGAATGTGGCGCCTCAGGCAATGCCTTTGCAGGCCTCAACAAGTTCTGCAAACCAATCGCGCTGCCATTACCGAGGAAGAAGAACTGTAATAACAGCGGTACCAACTCAGCATGACATGTTAGAAGCTAATTCACTGACTAGACAAAAAGTGACAAAACGAGTTCTGTGAAACTGCTGTAGGTTGCTCAGGGGCTGCAGGGTAGGGTGCCAGGGAAATATGCAAAAACATTACTAAACCTTGAAACTAATCCTTGCCATTAAGGACAGGCATTGGTTCGAGAAACCAATTTTGCAGATATATATTTCTTTAAAGAGGGAGCGATTCTCATCTGGGCAGCGCAGGACCTCCATACACACTGCCCAGGCTTGCGCCCCGGAGAGGTCACTTTGGGTCTGTTTAACGCAACAGAAACAACACAGCCTGACTTCACCCCCAGAGGCGCACTCCATTGTCTCTTGAGACAAACAGATGCCAACAATGTTTGTGGGGCAGGGGGTCTCCAGGGCAGTAAGAAATCACCAGAACTCCTGGCTGAGAGGAATGTAATATCGTGAACTTTGAAGTGATCTGAACATATACCCAGTCACTCGGTGTACAACTTTAAAAATAAAAGAAAACTTGTTAGAATTGCCTTTTTATTAGTGCTCGCAGGGATGTGGCAAGGTGGTTCATTAAAAAGTAATTGGAAGACACAGCCGAGAGAGGGAACAAGATGGAATCTCAAGGTACAGTAACAGAAGAGAATGTGGCACAGTTCAGTCATTCTTGGGCCTTTACTGACAGAAGGAACCAATCTTGACAACTTCTACAGGAAGCTGTCATCCAAAATTCATCCCAGCAAGGGAACAGTGCAAAAACGTTTTGCATTTAAGAGCAGAGATGTGTGACATTTGCAGTGCAATTCTATGCATGTCTACCCAGAAGTAAGTCCTATTGGTTATACGGAACTTATTCCTAGGTAACAGTGTCTAGGATGGCAGACTAAGAGTTCAGAAATTACTTTGGGTAGGACTCTGAAACTAGTCATCCAGACTGCCGCACACAGATGGCCAGCAGCTTAAATCTATATCGGAACCTGAAAGCTTACATAATTCTTCCTAAAGCCCCGATATCAAATTTTTAATTCACCTCCATCTCATAGAATTTTCAGACATATGCAGCTGGTATCTGAGAATCTCACTGAGAATTTCCACAGGCAAACATAGCATACACAGAAACAACATTCTTACCCAGAAGCCCAGGTGCCACCCAATTATGGGGCACAGAGCAGAACGCACAGAGAACACACACACACACACAAAACAAACACACAAAAACACACTTGGAAGGTATGCTAAGAAATTCCCTTCTCACATCTTGGCATCAGGGTTGCAAAGATTTCACTACTGATCAATAACATATATGAAGTTCTAGAAGCAGAAGATCTAGTACACACACACTGCTTAATATGCTAAATAGAAAAGCCATAATTTAGTAAACATTTTAATGAAAGTAAATCTGACACTCTCTTACACTGTATTCAAAAGGACCCAACAACCACTGAGCTCTAGCCCACTCCCATCTTCCAAAGGACCATCACAGTCAATCACACAGTTAATTTCTAGCAGATGTCACTGAGGGACAATGTGATATAGTAGCTAGAACTGGGGAGACCTGAGTTCAAATACCGACTCAGCCACTAAGGTCACTGGATGACCTTGGTCAGCCACTATCTTCCAGCCTAATCTCTCTCACAAGGATGTTGTGATGATAAAATGGTAAGAGAACCATGTACATTGCCTTCAGGTCCTTAAGTTATAACATAATAAATACAAATCCTGTCAAGATACCATGGATCATACTTTCAGCAACATAAGCCCCATAAAGGACTTGATTGCAACAACTTCCAGAGGGTGTAGCTACGTTAGCCTGCTCCAGCAAAAAACAAAAACCCAATCCAACCCCCCAATTCTTATGGCACCTTAAAAACTAACATTTTAAAATTTACTTAACAAAATTTATTTACCGATTATAAAAAGAACTTCTAAGCAGTTTACAAGTCATTTATTATAGCATAAGATCCCACGGTCTACAATTGACTTCATCACTTGCATGATAAGTAATCCTGCATATACCCATAACTCAGAACAACGTTTTATTCATGTCGACGAAGTTGGGACTAAAGTCCACAAAAGCTTAAAGCAAATTGAACGTGTTGATCTTTATAGTGCCACAAGAACCTGCTGGGCATTTATTAAAAAATAGTTTGGGACCACCCCTTTGCTATTTTCAGTTGGGCCTCAAGCTTTGCACCAGTGAATCACCACAGATCCTTCAGAAAACATGAGGCACCCCTGAGGACCATCCCTGGGAAAAAGGATCCACCAGCTGGGGTTTTCACAGGATCTACTATCCTAGCCGTGTGTGAGAGAGTATTAGTCGATTACCCTTGGATTCCTTCACATACACACCCCAACATTACCAAGCTGACTGTATGATCTCCTACCGCTGCTCCATATTTATGCTATTATTGTTTTTTGCTGAAAAAGGGGTTTGTCGTAACAGGTCAAAGCATTAATTTCTGCATGCATTCCTGCTCCAAACTACGTACCTCCACCTGCGATTCTTGCGTGAGATTTTCCTCTGACAATCCACCCCTTGCAACCCCTATATATGTGTGTGTAGATTTGCCTCCAGGGGGGATAGCACCCCATGCCCCTGACTTGCAGAGGTTAAGGGCGCCAGACTGACTGGGAGACCTGGGTTCAAATCCTCCCACGCCCTCATTAAGTGACTTTGGGCTGCAGCCACCTTCTCTCAGCCTTCAACAATCACACAACACGGCCCACGGAACTGTCACAAACGCCACCATAAAGTGAGCTGGCCTTTAAGGGACAACGTTATTTGAAAACCGCCCCCCCCCCAACAATAACTGTCTACCGCCTAATGTTCCCACCGCCTCCCCCCCCCCCCCACTTCCCTAATGGAAGCGCCCTCCCACAGAACGAGGAAGAGCGGACTCAGACCCCACCATTACAACTTTGGGGGGGAGGAGGGAGCAGACCGCGGCGGGACCAGCCAACGCCTCAAAAGGCAAGCCCGCCTCCCCTTGATTGGCCCTTTACTTACCCAACGGGGTTCCGTCTCCTGCCCCCGCCGGCCCCCTGTGAGCCCCCTTCCAGACCGGCTTCCGCCTCGGAGCGAACGTTCGGTAGCGCCACATGACGGGCGCTCGCCAATGAGTCGTGGGCGGGGACGGAGGGGCGGGCGGTTGCGACGTCACCCGAGCCGGTTCCCACGGCAACGGCGTCCCGGCTCCTGCTTCCGCATTCCCCGAGCCAGCCCTGCCTTAAAGGGGCCGTACGCGCTGAAGTGCGGACGCCAGGGGATCGATACGAATTAAGCTCGGGACGCTTTCTAATGTCTCGCGCCGCCTAATATAATTATTATACCCATGCTGGGTTCCTTTCTTCCTTGCAAATGCACGGTTTTTTGTTGTTTTGTTGTTGCTTACTGTATTTGCAGCATAGCTGTCAACGTTTCCCTTTTTTTTTAAAGGAAATTCCCTTATTTCGAATAGGATTCCTCGCAAGAAAAGGGAAAAGTTGACAGCTATGATCTGCAGTGCAATCCTACGCGTAAATTAATCTAAAGTAAGTCCCCATTGGATTCAATGGGGCTCCCTGTCAGCAATAAGTGCGGGCGGATCCCCCGCACGTGACCCATTATTATTATTATTATTATTATTTATTAAATTTACATACCAGCCTTCATCCGAAAAACACAAGGCAGTTTGCAAAGAATCCTGGTAACTGTGGTTGTCCGCTCACAGAGCTATAATTTTCAGCATTCTTAACAAATTACAGTCCTCTGGGATTCTTGGGGGGGGGGGGGGAGTCATATGCTTTACATGTGCTGCCCTGATTCCTCTGAGCCGAAATCCAGGGCACACACTGCACATTAAAACAATATACAGTTACAATTGCAAAAAAACAAGATCCCCACTAGCAGTTGCTAAAGTTCTTTTTTCCTTTTTGTGCACAGCCAGACTTGGAAGAAATGGGTAGGTAGGGCTGGATCTGTTGGTTTTGGTTCTCTTGGTTTCTCACCTTTGCAATCTTAAATTCAGTTATACGCATTTCTGCAGCAATTCATGTTTTTCTTAAAATCGTCTCCAGCATTTTAGTCTGCAATTTTGCCTAATGTGCATGTTTTGTCTAATGTAAATTAGTGCCTGCGAATGACTATGCATTACAGGTGTCATGCAGTCTTTGCACCAAACGCAGGTACCACTTTCAGCTTACGAACCGTCTTCAAGGGCAGCCCCACGTAGAGCACATTGCAGTAATCTAACCTGGACATAATCACTGCCATCTTTTGATAGGGCCACAGCTGCTGAACCAGCCTATGCTGGCGAAAAGCAGCAGATGTCAACATTGTCTTCACAGACAGTGCCCAGCCTGGGATCATTCCTAGACTGTGTACCTGGCCCTTCAGAAGGGGCGTGATCCCATTCAGGATCTGGCCTAAACTTTTATCCTGATGGGTAGATCTCCCGAGCAATAGCAATTCCATTTTATTGGGATTAAGTCCCCCTGCAACACACAGCCAAGGAAGGAGAATTAGCCTCTGACTGTTCCCTAAAAGATAAATTAGTGATCCAAAAACAGATTGCCCACATTTTTATCAAATCTCTCTCTCTTCCTCAGCTTTTAAAAGATGCTTCCTCGGAATTCTAGGCTCTAGAGCAGGGTGTTGCAGGACCCCCAAGTCCCTTCAGCTCCGGCTGTCATGACCAATATGTAGGGATGATGAGAGCTGTAGCCTGTGAACATCCAGAGGTTTCCATGTCCCCCACGCCTGAGTTCGACGTTTACCTCTTTTTTCCCACCATTCTGTTAATCAACCAACAAAATCACCTAAATCTTGCAGCTCCAGTTTTACGACTTCACAATTTCCTGTGGTTAAGTCACATGGTTGTGGTTTGCAAACCTAAGTTGTAACCTTTGCTTTTTTGGTGGGTCGAGGACAACTTTTAATGATTTGTGAGCTGTCCTTAAATGGAAGCAAAATGCTTTGCTGCCAGATTTTATCATGTTGCCCCTCGGATGACACACGTCTGCCACGCAGCATGGAAGGGAAGCCTTTCTGGGTCAGAGTAAAAGGTCTGCATACTGGTTTGCTGGAAATCACAAGTGCGTAGAGAGAGGTGCTGTGCTTAGGCCCTGCTTTGGGGCTTCTTGCGAGCCACTGGCACCAACTCCAGGGAGCCCTGGGGGGGACGAGGACCCACAAAATTTTTGCTATGGGTGCCCGGCCTTACCTCTGCCGCTCTGGCACTGCAGTGGTGACTGGTCCTCTCTGTTCCTTCATTTGGTGCAGGTATTTTATTTTCAGTATAAACAGGACTCTGTTTTTGCGTCTCCACATGCACACACACACACACAGAGCAAAGACTCTTGTTTCCAAAAGGGACAGGAGCGGGGTGGTCTGATCTTTCTCCCACTTTAAATTGCTCTCCACAAAGATCTGGAGGCAGTTCCAGATTTACGTATAAGCTAAACAAGCCCTACAGCTTAGGGCCTCACTCTCTTGGGGCCCCCCAAAAAAATTAAAGGAAAAAAACCTGGATGTACATTTCCAAAATACAAGATAAAAAACAAATAAAATAGAACCTACATACAGCAACAGTGTTTTGTGTTGTGTAGGCTCCTATGCGTAAGTAATGGGCCCCACCTGCTAGTCTGCTCCCTAAAATATCACTGGTTTGCTCATTTTTATATTTAGGGTGCCTACATTCTGCATGGATTGGTTGCACGGCAAAATTTGCAAATGGCTTTAGATACCTATTAGGTCCCTAAATTACCTTATAGCATATACAGTGGTACCTCTGGATGCGAACGGGATTCATTCTGGAGCCCTTTCGCATCCTGAAGCAAACGCAATCCGTGTCTGCATGTGCGCGGGTCGCCACTTCCGCACATGCGCGTGACATCATTTTGACCGTCTGCGCATGTGCGAGCGGCGAGACCCGGAAGTAACGCACTCCGTTACTCCTGGGTCGCCGCGGAGCGCAACCCAAAAATACTTAACCTGAAGCTAATTCAACCTGAGGTATGACTGTATTCAACACAAAAACCAGCAACAATTTGTTGTTGACAAAGGACAGCTGGACATATAAAAGGGCCCAATTACCTTCAGTAGCTGAGGGCCTCATCAAACCAAAATAAGGCTCTGTGTGGAGGAGAGGAAAAGGGGAAAACCAGGACATTTTGGGATCAAATCAGAAACTGGGATGGCTTCTGTAATTCACGAACCCGTTCCTGGGGAATCAGGATACTTGGAAGGTATGGTAGTGGTTGGTGTGTTGGATTAGGACCTGCAAGACTAGGGTTCAATCCCCTTCTTGGCTATGAAGCTCCCTGGGTAAACATAGGCCGGTCGCTGCCTCTCAGCCTCACCTACCTCGCAGGACCGTTGTGGGGAAACGAACAAAGTAAAGACAGCCAGTACCGAAGAGGGATTTGTTTTATGGTTAACACAAAGAATTAAGCTGTGTGCTTGTCGGGGCAGAGAAAGCTACAAGGGTATTTCATATTTCAAATATACATTCTTAAAAAAACCAGAAGCATTTTACTTGGTATTATAGGCCAAGACATTAATAGACAAGATGTCAAACTGTTCTTATATGCAACAACAGCGGCAAGAGTATTGTTAGCCCAGAAATGGAAGCAAGAAGAAATTCCGACGAAAGAAGAATGGCAGACGAAATTAATGGACTATGCAGAGTTGGACAAAATGACAGGAAGGAATCGAAACCTGCGGGACCAGAGATTTACAGAAGATTGGAAGAAGTATATGAATTATTTGAAGAGCAACTGTAATCAACAAATCACGCTAGTAGGACTACAAGACGTTTTGTAAGGAGAAATATACGAAGCGTTTCAGAGTAGAAAAAGATAGAGATATTGGTTATGAGTTCGAAATGTAATAGAAGAAGAAGAAGAAGAAGAAGAGGAGTCTGGATTTGATATCCCGCCTTTCACTCCCTTTAAGGAGTCTCAAAGCGGCTAACATTCTCCTTTCCCTTCCTCCCCCACAACAAACACTCTGTGAGGTGAGTGGGGCTGAGAGACTTCAGAGAAGTGTGACTAGTCCAAGGTCACCCAGCAGCTGCATGTGGAGGAGCGGAGAAGCGAACCCGGTTCACCAGATTACGAGTCCACCACTCTTAACCACTACACCACACTGGGAAAATAAGAAATGCATACTAAGAGATTAGATTGGAAAATTTTCAGACAGGACTGATGGAAGTCAAAAAAATTGAATAAGATGTAAAAGTATATTTAATTACTGTTGAAAACGATGTGTTAAAAAACTAATAAAATTTTACGTTAAAAAAAGAGAAAGCTACAAGGGTATGGCAACCCGCATCATGTGGCACTTATTCACAAACGCCTGGCACCGATGCCTTCTCTGGTGCAAATGCCGCTTGGCCAGGCCACGGTGGTGGCGATGGTGCTGTTCTGCAAAAAAAGAAGAAGGGACAATTTATATCTTCCCTTCTGATGCTCTTGCTTAGTGATCAAGCATCTGCTTTGCATAATTCAGCTGCTCAGTTCAACATCTGGCATCTGCAAGGAAGGTTGGGAATGACCCGCCTCTGGAAACCTGGAGAGCTGTAGTTTTTGGACTACAATTCCCATCATCCGTGACCACTGGTCCTGCTAGCTAGGGATGATAGGAGTTGTAGTCCCCCCCAAAAAAACAGCTGGAGACCCAGTTTTGAGAAACACTGAGCTAGATAGACCAGTGGTCAGTATAAGGCACATTCCTATGTCCCTGCCCCTTTTAATAATAATAATAATAATAAATTTTATTTATATCCCGCCCTCCCCAGCCAAAGCCAGGCTCAGGGCGGCTAACAACAAATAAATAATCAAACAATTAAATAGTCCAACATTCTAAAACATTTCATTATAAAAATTAATTAAAATCAAATTAATGGCAACCGTTGAGCAAAGTTCTGTGTAGGTTGCCGGAGGTGGAGTCAGGCTGGGCCCTGACCAAAGGCCTGGTGGAACAACTCTGTCTTGCAGGCCTTGCGGAAAGATGTCAGATCCCGCAGGGCCCTAGTCTCTTGTGACAGAGCGTTCCACCAGATTGGAGCCGCAGCCGAGAAAGCCCTGGCTCTAGTTGAGGCCAGCCTAACCTCTCTGAGGCCTGGGACCTTCAGGATGTTTTTATTTGCAGACCGTAGGTTCCTCTGTGGGGCATACCAGGAGAGGCGGTCCCGTAGGTACGAGGGTCCTAGGCCGTATAGGGCTTTAAAGGTTAAAACCAGCACCTTAAACCTGATCCTGTACTCCACCGGGAGCCAGTGCAGCTGGTATAGTACCGGATGAATGTGATCTCGCAGCGAAGACCCCATAAGGAGTCTCGCCGCGGCATTCTGCACCCGCTGGAGTTTCTGGGTCAGTCTCAAGGGCAGCCCCACGTAGAGCGAGTTACAATAATCCAGTCTGGAGGTGACCGTCGCGTGGATCACAGTGGCTAGGTCAGGGCGAGAGAGATAAGGGGCCAACTGCTTAGCTTGGCGGAGATGAAAAAATGCCGCCTTTGTTATAGCTGTAATCTGCGCCTCCATAGAGAGGGAGGTATCGAAGATTACACCCAAACTCTTAACGGACGGTGCTGGCACTAATTGCACCCCGCAAGAGATGGGAGTTGCCCCCAATCCCATATCGTCCCGTCCCAGCCAGAGGACCTCTGTCTTCGAAGGATTTAACTTCAACCGGCTTCCGCGTAACCATCCAGCCACAGCTTCCAAACATCTGGTCAGTGTGTCTGGGGCCGAGTCAGGATGGCCATCCATCAACAGATAGAGTTGGGTGTCATCGGCATACTGATGGCAGCCCAGCCCAAAACTCCGGACAAGCTGGGCGAGGGCGCATAAAGATGTTAAAAGCATCGGGAGAGTATCGCACCCTGAGGCACTCCACACACCAAGGAGTGGCGGGATGACAATTCCCCCCCAAGCGCCACCCTCTGTCCCCGACCGGAGAGAAGCGAGCGCAGCCATTGAAGGACTGTGCCCTGGATCCCCACGTCGGCAAGGCGGTGGTCCAGGAGTTCGTGATCAACCATGTCGAAGGCTGCTGACAGATCTAGAAGAATCAGCAGCCCCGACCCGCCTCGATCCAGCTGCCTACGGAGATCATCTGTTAGGGCGACCAGAGCCGTCTCGGTCCCATGACCAGCGCGGAAGCCAGACTGGAATGGATCTAGAGCCGATGTTTCATCCAGAAACCTACCAAGCTGTTCAGCAACCGCTCTCTCAATCACCTTACCCAGGAATGGAAGATTTGAAACCGGGCGGTAATTGGATAGATCTAAGGGATCTAATGATGTTTTCTTTAAGAGCGGGCGCACCACTGCCTCCTTCAATTCCCCTGGAAATATCCCGGTGCCAAGGGACAAATTGATGATATCCCCGGGGGGCCCGCCCCCCGACTGGCCACGCTCTCACCAGCCACGCCGGGCACGGGTCAAGAGGACAGGTGGTGGGCTTTCCAGCTCGGAGGAGTCTGTCCACATCGGCTGGGGATATCCGATCAAAGTGGTCCAATACTGGACCCGAGGACAGTCGAGGGGCCTCCAGTTCCTTTATTGTATCCAAATTGGCAGGGAGGTCATGGCGGAGCAACAGGACCTTCTCCGCAAAAAGCTCGTAAACGCCTCACAGCTATGTGTCAGATTGTTATTTAAATTTGGCTGTCCTTCAAGGGACGTTAAAGACCTAATTATACTAAATAATTGCGCCGGGCGAGAGCTAGCGGATGCAATGGAGGCCGAGAAGTAAGACTTCTTAGCGGCCTTCACCGCCATCTCATAGGTTTTCATAAAAACCCTATAAGATGTTCTTGAGGCTCCGTCACGGGCACCCCGCCATACTCGCTCTAGCCGTCTGAGGTCCCGCTTCATTTTCCGAAGCTCCTCGGTAAACCAGGGAGCCCGGTTTCTGCGGAGTCGCAGAGGGCGCTTAGGTGCGATCTCATCTATGGCTGCCAGGAGCTGGGTATTCCAGCCCTCAACAAGCTCAGTCAATGAGTCGCCCGGGGGAGCAAGGTCCCGCCAGGCGTGACGGCATCTATCAGGGGCCATCAGCCGCTGCGGGCGAGCCCACAGCGGCTCGCCACCTAAGCAGGGTGGGGGTGGAAAGTCAATCCTGGCTTTCAGAGCGTAGTGATCAGACCATGGCACCTTAATTGAAGGAGACATGATCACATCTATACCTACGCCAAAGATCAAATCCAGCGTGTGGCCTGCTTGATGTGTGGGGCCTGAAACAAACTGGGAGAGCCCTAGTGTTGCCATGGAAGACACCAGGTCCAGAGCCTGTGAGGAGGGAGTGGCATCAGCATGGATGTTGAAGTCCCCCAATACCAATAGGTTAGGGAACTCCAAGGCTACCCTTGGAGGGAACACAGGTTACCCCACTTCAACTGCCATGCATGTGGGGCTTCCCTTGCATTTGATCTGGACGCTGCAGCTAGCGCAGAATGCTGCTGGCAGGAGCGAGACCCTGGGTTGAGCCAAACTTCCTCTTGTCCCGCTGCTTTCCTCTGGGGGGAACCACTCTTTAGTGCTCAACGGGAGCAAATGGCAATTCGGGTTTTTTCCAAATTGACGTTTGCTCCGATCTAGCTGTAAAGAGCAGGTTTTCCCTGGGAAAGGAGCGGATCAAGGGGGAAACCATTCGGACCCTTGTCTTATAGGCAAGTGGAACAAGTGGGAGTGAGCCCACTAGACCCCCCCCCCCCGCATAAAACGCCTCTGCTCAGAGATCTGAATTGCTGAATTGCTACTGGGACAAAATCAAGGTGTTACTATTTGTATATTAATCCCTTAACAATTTGGGAGCAGTTGACTTGTGAGATCACCTTACCTGATGCAGTGCTGTAGCTAGGGGAGGGGGCCAGCTGCCCCCCCCCCCCGTGAAGCCTCCAGAGGGGCGCCCTTGAGGCTCCCAGCCTCTGTGTGTGTGTGTGTTTTTACACAAATGCGCTTGGGGTCAGTGTGCCAAACTGAGTCTTTGACCCAGGTGAAATAAAGCATAGTTTCGCCCCTGCCCAATGTATGCTCTCAGTCGCTTTGATCTGTAGAACAAACACTTTTTACAGGGGTCACATAAAGCTCATTCACAACTAGGTCGCTCCTAGCCCTGGATTGAACCTGGGACCTTCTGCATTCAAAGCAGATGCTCTAACTTGGAGCTACAACCCTTTCCCAATGGTTAGGCATGGCTGATTTAAGCTTAAAGGTAAAGGGACCCCTGACCATTAGGTCCAGTCGCAGACAACTCTGGGATTGCGGCGCTCATCTCGCTTTATTGGCCGAGGGAGCAGGCATACAGCTTCCGGGTCATGTGGCCAGCATGACTAAGCCGCTTCTGGTGAACCTGAGCAGCGCACAGAAATGCCATTTACCTTCCTGCTGGAGCAGTACCTATTTATCTACTTGCACTTTGACGTGCTTTCGAACTGCTAGGTTGGCAGGAGCAGGGACCGAGCAACAGTAGCTCACCCCGTCGCGGGATTCAAACCGCCAACCTTCTGATTGGCAAGCCCTAAGCTCTGTGGTTTAGACCACAGCGCCACCCATGCTTACAGGGCCACAAATAGGAGATACAGTGGTACCTCAGGTTACATACGCTTTAGGTTACAGACGCTTCAGGTTACAGACTCCCCTAACCCAGAAACAGTACCTCGGGTTAAGAACTTTGCTTCAGGATGAGAACAGAAATTGTGTGGTGGTGATGCGGTGGCAGCAGAAGGAGCCATTAGCTAAAGTGGTGCTTCAGGTTAAGAACAGTTTCAGGTTAAGAACGGACATCCGGAACGCATTAAGTACGTAACCAGAGGTACCACTGTACAAGCACAAACCATACAGAGTTGAGACTGATCTGGTTAGGGGACCCACGTCTTGACTACAACTCTCCCCCCCAATCAATGAGACTCTAGTTGCCTAGGATACACAATAAATTATCTCTCCCCTTTAAAGTCTTTTTTTGGGGGGGGGGAGGATAAATGTTTCCCATTCATCTTATCTCTAAGACCAGCCTTATCTAAAGGTATTTTGTTACCTGGCAGAGACAAACCGGTAAGGATGCCATCGCAAGGACACAGCCGTCTGTGTTTCTTTGGATTCCAGGGCCCACGCAGGTCTAAAACGACATAAGCCAACAAAGGATGAGTAATTAGGTATGGTAACTGGCAGTGGGAAGAGGCAAGTGCAAGATTTGGGATGGAGGAGTGCTTTTATGGTCCTCACACCCCCATAACCAGAAAGGGTTAGGGCACGCAAGCAGAATATCGCAGAGCGCTCCTAACCCTAGAACTCGTGGACATCCAAAGAAACTGTATGCACATCGTTAAACTGTGGAACTCCTTGCCACAGGATGCAATCATAGCCACCAACTTAAAAGGTAAAGGGACCCCAGACAATTAAGTCCAGTCGCAAACGACTCTGGGGTTGCGGTGCTCATCTCGCTTCACGGGCCGAGGGAGCCGGCGTTTGTCCACTTCCGCAGACAGTTTTTCGGGGTCATGTGGCCAGCATCACTAAGCCACTTCTGGCAAAACCAGAGCAGTGCACGGAAACGCCGTTTACCTTCCCGCCGGAGTGGTACCTATTTATCTACTTGCACTTTGACGTGCTTTCGAACTGCTAGGTTGGCAGGAGCTGGGACCGAACAATGGGAGCTCACCCTGTCACGGGGAATCAAACCGCGACCTTCCGATCTGCAAGCCCAAGCAGCACAGTGGTTTAACCCACAGCGCCACCCGCGTCCCTGAGCCACCAACTTAGATGGCTTTGAAGGAGGGCTGGACAAATTCAGGGAGAGGGCAGACAATGGCTACTGGTCCTTGTGGCTCGGCTCTGCTTCCACGCTTGGAACCAGCAACACTTCTGAATACGAGTTGCCGGAAACCACGAGAGGGGAAGGTGGTCTTGTGCCTGGGTCTCGACTGAGGGTTTCACATAGGCCTCTGGGCGTGAGAAGAAGGATGTTGGACTAAATAGGCCATTGGCTCTTCTTAGGTTCCTAGGCTAGGGGTGTTGACTGCAGAGACGTCTCGTGAAAGCGAGCCAAACCACGTGCAATTCCTCCTCTGATGTCCCATCCTCTTCCAGTTCTCCATTGTGGGAGTGAGCCAGGGGTGGTTCTCCAGATGTTCTTCAACTCCCATCAGCCCCAGCCAGCATGGCCAATGGTAGGGGATGATAGGAGCTGGAGGGCCATAAATGACATCTGGAGGGCCATAGATTAGTCACACAGTTTTCCCCATTCTCCATAGATGAGGTTCCACCGTTATGTTCTCAGTTAATCCATAGGAGACCATGCTGAGTCCTGGTCTCACTCACTAATGACGAGAAAACCCCCAATCTGATTCACTCGCTTTTAAAGATGCGCCTCTTCACAGAGGCTTTTCCTTCACCTCTCCAGCAGGAATTCCCTGCTTTAATTACTGCATTGGTTTGCTTCATTGCACATTTTAACTACGGATGCTCACATTTTAATTTTTAATGGGATTGTCTGTGCATTTTAATTATGGGTGCTTTATATTTAAATGCTTGCATAATTGGTTGGTTTTTTTTATAAGACCGCTTCGAAGCCTCATTTGGCATTAGGCGGCGTCTTGCTGCATTATTAACCGTCAACATTAATTGTTCTTAATTAACGAACGATGACCCATCATCCATCTCCGTTTTTCACACTGGGAAATTTCAGAGTCAGATTGCAGTGGGAGGGACTCGGGTTTGGTTTGTGGCGCTCTCAAACCAAGCGACGAGCCTGAGTGATTTGTGCAAGAGGTTACAGGTCAGATCTTCGAATGCCACACCTCAGCAACAAACAGGCGAGGCCAGCTGTTGCAGAGGAAACTGAAAGCGGAACTTGGTGTAGAGAGTTTCCATATTCTCAACTGTCGGGGTTGGTGATGCAAGAAAGAGACTCACCGGAACAACTGCAGGGCTGGTGGCCTTCCTGGTCTGGCTCTCCCCCCCTGTGGCCTGAACGGAATCTTCTACCTGGCAGAGAAAAGAGGAAAGATGGTCAATTGGGTAAACTCTGTTGTAAACAAAAATGGCCCTTTCCCCCTTGTGGGGTATCCAAGAACCCATATAGAGTCCTTACATAGGTTCCCTATTGGTAGGAGAGAATAACAGAGGCCAACCAGAGAATATTGAGAAGCAAAGCAGCTAGTAAGCTTGATCTTTATTGATCTGTTGCAACAGGGTGCTCCCCTCACCCGCAGGAGAGGAGGAGGAACCTAGAAAAATGGCGCGCAAGGCCTTATAAAGACTTTTGAAATTGCCACCCTGTAGATCAAGACCACCCCCAGAAACATCATACATACATCACAGAAGGGGTGTACCTAAGACCACCCCCAGAAACATCATACCTACATCACAGAAGGTGTGTAACCTAAGCCCACCCCTCAGATACATCACACCTACATCACAGAAAAGGTGGTATAAACAGAAATTTGAATGTTGTTTTTCTCCTGTCCTTGTTTATCTCCTGTCTGGCAGGTTACCTGTTAATAGTCACTTGATTGGGAGCCTGGCCAGTCTTTTGTAATGATAAATACTTAGTTCCTGGGCCAGGTCACAGGCTCACACCCTATTCATATCTTAAATGTGCCCTTAAGACAGGATTTGTGAGGAAAGAGACAATGGGGAGGTTTCCCACTTTGACCTTGCAGAGAAAACATTTGCTCAGTTTAGGAATCAAAATGGTTCCAGGTGGATCTTCCTGTGCTGATCTATGTACGTGCTTGGTTGGTATGCTTATGAACATTACCATATATCTAAGACCTCAAAATTCCTATCACAGCTCCGAACAGCAAGACAGCTACTCTGAGAACGAGGGCGGGTTATTTATATGGAGTAACAAGTTAGATTTCGAGACACAGAAGGATAAGTTTCCCCCTGCTTCTCCCCACTGTGCCCTCTGCAAAGCCACTCTGGAGAGTCATGGCCCTCTCCTGAATGGTGCTGGAGGAAAGAAGATGGGGGATTTTTTGCTGCCATGAACTTCCTTGCGTCCCAAGACCTAATAATAATAATAATAATAATAATAATAATAATTTTTTATTTATACCCTGCCGTCCCCAGCCAAGGCCAGGCTCAGGGCGGCTAACAACCAATAATAAAAATGAGTTGAATGAATACAACTTAAAAACAAGATTAAAATACAACATTAAAACATTAAAACAATTAAAATATTCTGAGTGACTCTTCCCTCTCGCAGCAGTCTCTGCCCGCTCTTCTGTCTGGAGAGGGGAGAAGAATCATAGAATCGGAAAGGGTCCCAGGGGTCATCTAGTCCAACCCTCTGCAATGCAGGAATCTCAACTAAAGCATCCATGACAGATGGCCATCCAAGGATGGTCCTGGGGGAGAAGAGGATGGGAAACTTGTTTCTTAACTTTCCACCTCATATATCATGGATGGGGTGGCTTTTCGGCCTAATGCGGCCCCCAGATATCTCTGTCCGGCCCCCGGGATTCTCCTTGGCCATTACATTTCGCCAGACCATGCCCCTTACCGGTCCTGCTCAGTGCCTTCCTTGACTGTTTTTTTCCTAGCTGTTATGTGCCTTTCAGTCAGTGTGGTGTAATAGTTGGAATGTCAGACTAGGATCTGGGTTCGAATCCCAACTCACCCATGAAGTGGAAACTCTGTGATTCTATATGGAGAGCCCTAGACTGGGGAAGGCTAGTTTATTCTAACAGCATTTCTCCAGCATTGGCAAACCTCAAGCCCTCCCAACCCAGGACCACCCTGAGCTGGGAAGGGCAAGGGATTGAGCCTGGCACCTTTGGCTGGCAAAGCGGGATGTTCTGTGCCATGCTGACCCCTTTCCATGAGAACCAAGAAGCGACCTCTCTAGACAATGGAATGACTCTTCTTTTCTTATCTCTGCGGCTGCAATCTCCTTTGTGACGCAGCTGAATGTACGTGTGTACTCCATCCATTTTCCTCCCTCCATGCGGCCCAGGGCACTGGCAACCCACGCTACGCCACTGGGACCTGCAGGATCAGGCCAATGGCCCACCTAGTCCAGCATCCTGTTCCCAGATGCCTGTGGGAATCCAACAAGCAGGAGCCAAACACAAAAATACTCTCCCTCTGCTGCGCCTACCAGCAACTGGCGTTCAGGAGCATTACTACAGAGGCAGATTTACAGCAGCGCAAATGCTGCCATCACACCGGGCATGCAGCCAAGGAAAGCGTCTTCTCCCAGCCCAGTAAGGGCTCCTGCCTCCTTCCCAAAGACAGGCAAGCAAAGCCCTTACCGGGCTTGGGGAAAGAGGTAGGAGGGCTCTAGGACCTTGCCAGAACCTCATGTCTCCTTCCCAAAGCCTGGCTTAAGCCGGTGCCACAGAGGGCTGGAGGGAGGGCGTCAAATGGCCTCGCACAGGGCGGCCTATTACCAGGATCCGCCCCTGCATTAATGCCTCCAGCTGTGAAGACAGAGCACAGTCATCATGGCTAGTAGCCACCAGCAGACTTCTCCTCCACAAATCTGTCCAATCCTTTCCCGAAGCCGTGCAAATTGGTGGCCATCGCTGCGTCCTGCAGCAGCGGGTTCCGCAGTTCACCTGCGCCCACCAAAGGGGAAATAATAATAATAATTTATTCTTTATACCCTGCCCATCTGGCTGGGTTTCCCCAGCCACTCTTGGCGGCTTCCAACAGAACACTAAAATACAATAACCTATTAAACTTTAAAAGCTTCCCTAAACAGGGCTGCCTTCAGATGTCTTCTAAAAGTTTGGTAGTTATTTTTCTCTTCGACATCTGGTGGGAGGGCGTTCCACAGGGCGTGTGCCACTACCGAGAAGGCCCTCTGCCTGGTTCCCTGTAACTTAGCTTCTCGCAGTGAGGGAACCGCCAGAAGGCCCTCAGCACTGGACCTCAGTGTCCAGGCAGAATCGACGTAGCGATTCCTCCGCCTCCCAGTTTCCATCCTCCCCTCTCACCTTTATCCTTGGCCGTGTAGCAAAGGATGCTGAGCGACAGGAGCAGGAGAGTCAAAGCTAGGAATCGGCACATGGCAAAGAGCGGCGTCCGCGAAAGTCTGCAAGGCACAAATTTGTAGCGACGAGAGATCTCTCCGCTTGCACCGCTTTTTGAGTCAACTCCCTTTGTGCTTGATGTCATTTACAGGAAGAGTTGGGGAAGAAAGGGATTATTTCGGGGCAGGCCCTGGATCACTGGAGCAGAAACGCTCTCCTGTAACACGTTTGTTTATTTGGAGAGAGCAGCTTTCAAAAGCTCCTGGAAGTTTCGAGATGCATATTTTGTGAAGAGGGAAATCTCCCCTCAACCCGTATACACATACAGCTTTTGTACCTGGCAGTTGGCAAATAGCGCGGCTTGCCAAATTCAGATCAGAGCGACAGACACAAATAAAAAAGAGTAGATCATATTACTTCCCGGACTTTTGGGCTTCGTGTTTCAGCTCGGGGAATTTTTCGAACGAAAGCAAAGCTATCAAAGGATAAAAATACAAAAGAAGAGGGGAGGGTACCTTCCCCCACTTCCAGTCCAAGGCCGACCCCCACCCTCACCTGGGGCCAAGAGGAGGGGCCAAAACGAAAAGTGGGCGGGGCAACAAATGTGAGTCTTTGCTATGTACAATGGACTATACTTCAGGAACGAAGAGGTTTCCAAACATACACACACCCCATTCCACCAAAGCAGGCAAGAGGCATTCAAGGACATATTCCAGCCAGGCAAAAAGCACTTGAGGCGGATGCCCTGGGGCAAGTCCCAAGTACGGATGGGGGAGCCATTCGATTCAGTCTGCATCGAAAGGCCAAGTTACCTACTTTGCACTTTCAGTACACAAAGAGGAGCTCAGCCATCCTTCGAAATTCAAGGATGGGGCTGTAGTTTAAGAGTGGATTGGCTGCTTTGACAAGATTGATAGAAACCAATTGCATACCCTCCAACATTTCTCCAATGAAAAGAGGGAGGTCCCGTTCCATAATGATAATTTTTACTATTTATGCCCCACACGTCTCACTGGGTTGCCCCAGCCACTCTGGGCAGCCTCTGACACATACAAAAACATAATAAAACATTAAAAAAAACTTTCCTATACAGGATTGCCTTCAGACGGCTCAGGGGTTGGAAAACTCCATACCCTCCAACATTTCTCTGATGAAAATAAGGACGCCCTAAGGGAAAGCGGGACATTCCAGGATCAAATCAGAAACTGGGACGGCTTCTCTAAATCAGAGAGGTCCCTGAAAAATAGGGACACTTGGAGGGTCTGCAGGTGGAGAGTGACATTCGAATATGGAAGCAAAATGGAGGGCAGACGGAAGTGTGGGGGAAGAGAATTCTCCCAGAGTGGGGCCACAGTCAGTCAGAATGTGCAATCTCCACTGAATCTATGATTTTATGAGGTGATATCCTGGTTGATGGGCCATTGAGGAGAACAAAGTAAAGAGACTCTGTGTGAGGACCCTCCAGTGGTGTAGCATGGGTTGCTGGTGCCCGGGGCAGAGCAAGTGTTACACCCCCTGGTGGACCGGGCAGCTGGGGTGGAGGCACGTACCAGGGGCGTGTGCAGAGCCTGTGAGGCACATGGCTGCTGGCACAGCTTCTGGTGGTGGCTGTGGCTGTGCACCTTCTCAGTTTGGCAGCTCCACCACCTCCCAGCTTGGGCAGTCCGAGGGCGGGGCACACAGCTGTTGTACCTGGTTGCACCCCTTCAGAATTTTGTACCTGGGGCCACAGCCCCCTGCCCCTCCTCGCTACGCCCCTGGGCCCCTCCTCTAGCTTGCAGTTAGTTAGAAGGACGAAGCAGAGTTTAGAGTTTGCCGGTGACAGAAAAAGGAGCAAGCTGGAGAGAGAGTCAGTCAGAGCAGTGCTTGAGAGCAACGTTTTGGTTTCTGCTTGAATCCAAGGCTGTGGTTATAGGAGAAACAAAGACCCTTTGGGGTGTTGGTGCTGTGAACCCCTCCAATGCAGGTTCAGGTGATACATAGGGGTAAATAAACCATATATCATAAAGACACCACAGTCTCCTCTGTGCCTTATTCCCAAAAGGAACCACGAACCCTGGCCTGGAACCCCTGGGATCTTGCACCACTCAGAGATTGGGCTGGCGTGTAACAATATCATAGTATAGTATTGTTGCTGTTGTTTAGTTGTTTAGTTGTTTAGTCGTGTCCGCCTCTTCGTGACCCCATGGACCAGAGCACGCCAGGCACTCCTGTCTTCCACTGCCTCCCGCAGTTTGGTTAAACTCATGCTGGTAGCTTCGAGAACACTGTCCAACCATCTTGTCCTCTGTTGTCCCCTTCTCCTTGTGCCCTCAATCTTTCCCAACATCAGGGTCTTTTCCAGGGAATCTTCTCTTCTCATGAGGTGACCAAAGTATTGGAGCCTCAGCTTCAGGATCTGTCCTTCCAGTGAGCACTCAGGGCTGATTTCCTTAAGAATGGAGAGGTTTGATCTTCTTGCAGTCCATGGGACTCTCAAGAGTCTCCTCCAGCACCATAATTCAAAAGCGATCAGCCTTCTTTATGGTCCAGCTCTCACTTCCATACATCACTACTGGGAAAACCATAGCTTAAACTATACCGACCTTTGTTGGCAAGGTGATGTCTCTGCTATAGTATAGTATAGCAGATTATTATTTTGAAGAAAATAATAGGAGGAGGAGGCTGGGACAGACAACTTTGTGTGCTGCCGCTGGCACAACCAGTTGTGTAGAGTTTTCGCAAGATGCTGGTGGTGGCTTCTTCACTCGCTATCCCGGTCCTTTCATTCTCCTCCTCCTCCCCGCTTGGGCAGCCTATCTAGAAATCGTGCTATAGCAAAGAGGGAGGGGGTAGACAAAAATACTGGGGAGGGAGGACAGGCGGGGAAGTGGCGGCTGCCATATCTCACCACAGCTGGAAATGTAAAGGCGCAAGAGGAGCGGTCAGGTTGCAAGTTGACAACCCAATAGCCTGAGCCGAGTTGTTTTGCAGCCCGAGGCAGAGGGCAAGATGGTGTCCCTTCCTAGGGCAAGAAGCTGATTGGGTAATTAAGAACCTATGAAGTTCCTGGCTGATGGATCCAGCTAGTGGCCTATCTAAGTCCAGCACCCTGTTCTCACAGCGGCCAAACAAATGTCTGGAAGCAGGACCTGACTGGATCTCAGTTGCGGGTCTGTCCCCTGGCTGGGACCCACATATCCTGCCCCCCTTTTGGTGCCCATCTGGCAAACCAGCCAAGCATGATGCCCCACCAGTGTCAACAAGACTTTGATGGCACTCACCCCCGGGCCAGTTTCCTGGTATGGGGATTATTTTTGTTTTGTTAGTGTTGCCGAGATCCTCTTTGAGGACAAAACATCCTGTTTCGTGGGAGAGAAGGCCTGCCCAAACAGGCAGAAGAATGGCGTGATTGTTAATTTTGACATGCTATAGAATTTTGAGGCTTATAATGATGGAATCGGATGCTTGCTTCTTTCCTTAACTAAAAGAGCACCCAGCTGCTCCCAGAATATCTATTCATCTTGCCACCCTTGCTATAGAATCCAGTTGTACTCTTGCTATTTTCCCATGAAGGAGAGAAGGGGTGGGGAAGCTCTGCCCCCCTCCGATGTTGTCTGATTTCAACTCCCACCAGCCAGCATGGCCAATGGTCAGGGATGATGGGAGTTGTAGTTCGACAATGTTCCTGCATAGTAGGGGGTTGGACTAGATGATCCTTGGGGTTCCTTCCAATTCTACGATTCTATGATTCTTGGACTCCATCTCCCATCAGCCCCAGCCAGAATGGCCAATGGTCAGGGGTGATGAAGGGTGATGAATTGGGCACATTCATCCGGATTTGCCTGCACAAAACCTACACGGAGTTTAGATTATGGGCTTTCCCATATTTTCACCTGACCCATATTTTGATTGTGTTGTGCACCAATCAATTCCTCTGCGTCTGAGAGCTTTTCTTATCGTTCTGCAGCTGTGCCTTACAAAAATCTGATATACCCACTGAATCGAATCTTATCAGATGTGCAGACTATCTAATTCCCCCCCTCCCAAAGAATCCTGGGATCTGTAGTTTACCCCTCCCAGAGCCATAAGCCCCAGCATCCTTAGCAAACTACAGTTCCTGGGATTCTTTTTTGGGGGGGAGGGGGAAGGGGTATAATCATAGAATCATAGAATCATAGAATCATAGAATCATAGAATTATAGAGTTGGAAGAGACCACAAGGGCCATCGAGTCCAACCCCCTGCCAAGCAGGAAACACCATCAGAGCACTCCTGTCATATGGTTGTCAAGCCTCTGCTTAAAGACCTCCAAAGAAGGAGACTCCACCACACTCCTTGGCAGCAAATTCCACTGTCGAACAGCTCTTACTGTCAGGAAGTTCTTCCTAATGTTTAGGTGGAATCTTCTTTCTTGTAGTTTGGATCCATTGCTCCGTGTCCGCTTCTCTGGAGCAGCAGAAAACAACCTTTCTCCCTCCTCTATGTGACATCCTTTTACATATTTGAACATGGCTATCATATCACCCCTTAACCTCCTCTTCTCCAGGCTAAACATGCCCAGCTCCCTTAGCCGTTCCTCATAAGGCATCGTTTCCAGGCCTTTGACCATTTTGGTTGCCCTCCTCTGGACATGTTCCAGTTTGTCAGTGTCCTTCTTGAACTGTGGTGCCCAGAACTGGACACAGTACTCCAGGTGAGGTCTGACCAGAGCAGAATACAGTGGCACTATTACTTCCCTTGATCTAGATGCTATACTCCTATTGATGCAGCCCAGAATTGCATTGGCTTTTTAGCTGCCGCGTCGCACTGTTGGCTCATGTCAAGTTTGTGGTCAACCAAGACTCCTAGATCCTTTTCACATGTACTGCTCTCAAGCCAGGTGTCACCCATCTTGTATTTGTGCCTCTCATTTTTTTGCCCAAGTGCAATACTTTACATTTCTCCCTGTTAAAATTCATCTTGTTTGTTTTTGCCCAGTTCTCTAATCTGTCAAGGTCGTTTTGAAGTGTGATCCTGTCCTCTGGGGTGTTAGCCACCCCTCCCAATTTGGTGTCATCTGCAAATTTGATCAGGATGTCCTTGAGTCCATCATCCAAGTCGTTGATAAAGATGTTGAATAAGACCGGGCCCAAGACAGAACCCTGTGGCACCCCACTAGTCACTC